TGAATTAACAACTTTAGCCAGACTCTTATTCTAAGGGCGACTGCTCTCTCTCTCTCTCTCTCTCACTCACTCACTCACTCACTCACTCACTCTCTCTCTCTCTCTCATCGAGGAAAGAAAGTCTCGGAAGAAAGTTTATACCCACGCCAATTGAAGCTCTCTTCCAGACTTCGTCGAACGAGAGGGTAGTTTAGAGTGAGGTTAAGCCGGTTAATTGGTAAAGAAGATCGCATGCAGGCGAGCTGGTTTTTCCGCGAAAAGCAGATTTCGATCGGCGCGGCAAACAATGGAATTGACCTCTTGAGACGAGAGAGGCGTCTTATTCGACGCGTGCGCACGCGAATTCATCGGAGAAACATGCGTTAATTACCCGTCCGTGTAGCGCACGTGCGAAAACGCGTACTCCTGGTCGAGATAACCACACGTGTTCCCATCGGTGCACCGAGCGAAACACCGGCGAGACGGGTGCAAGATTAATCGGCGACTTTATGTGTTATCCTGCCCGAGGATCGCTCCTGCCCCAGTGACTCGATAAAAAATAATTAAGCCGGCCTAATTATGCGCGCGTAATTAGGCCGGCTTAATTATTTTTTATCGAGTCACACTGGGGCAGGAGCGATCCCCTTATCGTGCTCGATTAACCAAGGTATACGAGGATCGCGAGCGAAAAGAAGCGTTAACAAGCGTGACACTATGGTTCACTATGTATCCACGATAGGAATGCACGATAGAAAGGTCTTACTTCGTGCGACAGAACGCACTGTAAACAATTTTGTGTTAAATTTAACACACTTCACATATCTTAAATGGTCCGCATAAATTTTCGTATTAATTTAACCTTCTAATGGCAAGGTGGATTTTCAACGTATCGAGGAAGGCGCAGTAAAAAAAACATTTTGTACTTATGTTAAAATCGGTCCTTGTTAAAATTTGGTCTTTGTTGAAAATTTGGTTGAGATAACAATTGACTGAATAGAGATCTTCGGCATGAACCATTCTGTTTTTGCAACTGAGCATCAACGGCTTCTCGAAGCGAGTCTTTCTTGGACGAAATACCGGCGCGTTCTACACCTGGCGTGTCCAGGGGAAGCGGCTGCGCTCGTATTTAGCGTCACATTAATTCGCACGGTGCCCGCACGCATGACGCAACGGAAAGTAATGTTACATGTTGCAATGTTACGCCGGGATCGTGCCGTTGAGACGTGTAAAAAAGTTACGGCTCACTATTCGTACGTTTGATCGCACGGTTGACCATAACGAGACCCGAAGTCGCTTCGGATAGTCGCCTCTAGTCGTCGTCGCGGAGGCGCGATCGCCGAAAAGGAAAGAGCGCGTTTGCGCAATCTCCCGCTGCGCCTTGCGGTCCAAAATCGCTTACGACATCGCGAAAACGCATGTACCAACAGAAGGCGATTGTTAACGTGCCAGCTTCTAAGAGAATATACACACCGCGAATATAAAATATACTGAAAGAAAAATATTATTAATATCTTGTTGAAGTCATATTCGCTATGTGCAGAAGTTTCCGTCTTTTTTGTGCAAGTTTTCGCTTTATTTCCATCAAATTATTTATAATCAAGAGACTGAAACTTGCACACACACACACTTAATAAAAAGTTCCGGGAACTTTTTTTTTTTATACAAAGAAACGGTAGTAGGAAGAAATAGGGCAATCGGTTAGCACAGTAAAAAAAACATTTGCTACTTGTGTTAAAATCATTCCTTGTTAAAATTTTTGTATTAAATTCCTATCATACCCGTATGCTAATTTAATATATTATGTTTATGTTATCTCAACATTTTATACTTCAGTTTCGATTAACATATTAATTTTGTGTTAATTTTTGACATAATATTGTGTTATTTTTCAATTGTTATTCTTTTATCTTGTGTTAAATTAACACTAAAATTTGAGCGGACTTTTAGGATACATGTAAAATATATTAAACTAAACACAAGGTTTTTTACTGCGTGAAATCGAGTTCGTTCAACTCCATTGGAGTTGCTTCTGATCTTTAATTAATCCTTTATTCAATATAGACGATAAGATTATTCTGTGATAGTATTTGCAACCAGCAGCCTTCCCCCGCGGGATCGTCGCAAACATTTGCGATGAGTCTGTAAAAGTGAAACATAATTTCCGATTGCACCGAGAAGCACGCAGTATGCATGAAAAAAAAAAGAAAAAGAGTATGAAACAATGGCGCACCTTTGCATTCCTCGGACAAGTGTTGTCCTATCATTCATATGCTTAAATCCCTCTGCTGTCCTTTATCTTCCGAACAATCCGCCGGCGTACAATTGGACGAACACCCGGGCAGCATCTATGTACGCACCAGCGCTCGGAATATAATACAGCCGGTAATTATTCATTCGTGAAGAACGCTCACGCTCGTCGAAAGCTCGCGGTGGTAATTCAAGGTATATTGTAAAAAGAATTATGTAACGCGTATCGATTGCGCAACCAATATTCGAGCACTCGAGTTTTACACTTCCTGCATTTCTTCCCTTTGACCGGCACAATTCCCAGTGTGCCGATTATCTCGATGGTAGACAAACAAGATGAACGATGATGCGCGATGATAATCGTTGCAATCGACGATATAGTCGCGTATAAATCTCGCACGAGACGAGTCGTCGCATAAAATTCCCGAAGCTTCAGATTGTCGCGCCGCCAATATCGCGACGTATTCGCGCGCGGATGTGCTGTTTGTCTATCGCTATAATTAATCTTATTTTCGTATCTAGTTGATGTATAGCCTTGAGGCATATTTTCGCTTGCTTTTAATGAACCGTTGCGTATGGCCTACTTTTTACCTGGACGAAACGAACGCGATCGTTTTGTCACGGCTGCTCGCGAATTTAGCAATATATTCCGTTTCGTCAAACGATTGGCAAATGTTCTCTCTCTCTCTCTCTTTTTCTGTCTCTCCCTCTTTCTCTAGACGATAACTTTATAAACAGGTATGATTTTTTTTTCGATTAATTCTTAGACTCCCCCTCCCCCCTCCCTCTTTCTCTCTCTTTCTCGCACTCTCTTCCCCCCTCGACATTTGCACCCACGAAGCGAGCAAGGTTCTTGCGATAATTTCGTACCTCCTCGCAATACGTACTTTCACTATTTGCGCCAGCAATCGACGTCATAGGCACCATCATCCGAAGAAATTGCAATAAATTCAGCGACGACGTCAGAATTGCTGTTTAAAAATCGTGTTTGCGGTTTACATCGCGACATTCTACTCTCTCACGAGGAAACTTGAAATAATCTTTTCAATGTAATTTTCATTACCTGGAATGTCAGAGATTACTCTGAAATTATCGGGAGAGAGACGTGGTACCGGGGAGTACGAAAAGTGTACGAGAGTACGAGAGTATTAGAGAGATATCTAGACATTTATTTACTTCACTTTATATATAATGTTAAGAAGGGTTTTTGTTTACAATTTTTACAAGTCAATAAATAAAAAGTTAATAAATAAATGGCAAATGAAAGCCTGGGCACGGACGTAAAGTGCAATTAATAAGATAATAGATACTCAGGGGTGTATTATATTAAGATTCCAAACGTTTCGGTCCAAACTTAAGACTCTTCAATGACTAGAATTATTTTAAGTTAAATCAATGTCATGACGCAGCGGCAAGGTTATAAGAAAAAATATTGTCATATACGAATTACACAGAACGATCAAATCGAATCGGCCGTACAGCCATATTAGACGTGTCGCGCCTGATGCAGTCATTCGAAATTACGTTATGCTGTTTAAAAACAAGTCGAATAATTTTTTTTTAACCCTAACCACGTTAAAAAGGACCAAGCTTCGCCATAATGTCGATCCCTAAGCGATGATAATCCTCCATCCAAACCACCTAGTTGGTTCTTCTCAACGCCTTACATCTCTTTCCGTCTTATTTTCCTCACCTATATCATTATCTTTATCTATTTCCTTTCTCTCTCTTTCCACAGTTTTCTCAGTATATTTCCTTTAACTTATGTATCTAACTCATCATGCCATATCTTATTCCATTTTTCATCCTTACCACTAGCTAGTCCTTCAAACCATTACGAGAATGTTACTATCACAGCCATCGTTCAATTTATTCTTTTTATTTCCTTAAATGTTTAGAGAAAAACTAAAAGATAGGTGTAAAGATCTATCGAACTCAAAGCGTTCACGTTGTAAAGCGCATTCACATTAAAAATAACATTCAACAGTCCGCGTGGCGCAATCGAACATTCCCACTTCGATACTTCTCCGCAACGGTTGCCGAACTCCAACCGTTCTCGTGACCGGCGATAAGAAAGAGAAGATACCGACACAATACCGACCTTCGAAAAATCTGGCGCGCATCTGGCGACGGGAAGATCGACGGCGCGTTCGGACCCTTCCTCGGTCATTGTCGCTCGTCTGCACGCGACGGGATCGCTTTTATTCCTCGAACGCGCGCGCATGCCGAGGTCAGACGCGGCATCGGTGTATCAGTATCAGCATCTACATCGACATATGAGCAGCATCAGCTTCTATCCGGGCCTCTCACTTTCGCGAGGATCGTGATGACGACGCGTTTCAGGCCGCGGGGGGTGTGCCCTGCGCGTCAAACCAATAGGAAGCCGGGGGCTCGTCGGCTGTGACGTAACGCCGTTTAAAAGGCGGCCCGCGTGAGACGAAGGAATCAGTCGCACGACGCGCGCTGCACCGTGTGCACATCCTGCAGCAGAAGCAGACGTCGGACTCACCGCTACCGCAGGAGGCTAGTGCATTGACGCGTATCCTGCCTTTTCCCCCCCTTCTGTCGCTCTTCCTTCTCCTCCTTCTCTTCTACTTCTTCTTCACGTTTGTTTCTGCCTTTCCTCCACGACTTTCGTGCCCGTCCAACACATCCGGAGAGTCCGTCGTCACTCGAGGACCGCACAGGGCGCCAGGAATCATTCCCAGAATTTCGCACGCTCGATCTCGTCGGTGCGTCAAAAGGCGATCTCCGGCCAAGGGAAGATCGTCATCCTGTTCGGCAACGGTGCGCCGATACGTGCGGCTTTTTAACCGGAAAGACACGCGAAGGTTGACTCGTTCGCGTGCGTGCGTGCGTGCGTGTAAGTAGTTGAGCGCCGACGCGAAAGAGAGAGAGATGTTCGTAATCGCGAGGTACTCGTAAACGTTGATACCCCGTGGTCTTTTATCAGTTTTTTGGTTAAGAGACCCTCGATGGCGGATAAGATTCGTAATGAATAGTTTGAGTTGGGAAATGCAATTTTCGCAGTGTTAGATCCAATCGCAAAAGTATCCCGCGATTTTTACGAGGGATTATACACGCGCAATCCATCGTGACGTTTAGGAGAGAAGGTTAAAGCCTTCCGACCGAGAGAGGCGTTCACCGTTAATTCGCGTTAACTCCGCGCTTCGCCGATTCGCGCCGCGTTCGATCGGCAAATAATAACCGGTCACGGGCGCCGTGCTGCTCGCTCTTCGAAGGCGCTCACTTGGCCTTCTTCTTTTTTACAGCGCCTCGTCGACCTGCCGATGAACGCTGCTTCGTTACCGTGCGAATGCGAAGTAATTGCGAAGAGATAATGCGAAGTAATTGCAAAGAGATACGCCGCGACGATGATTATTTGCATACACAATTCGTGTAGCCCTGAAACTTGGTGCTTTTATTACCATTTTTTCCGATGTAAAAGGAAGCGAGCTTTGCAGCTTTTATTTCTTCCTGGATTACGCGGATCGGAGGCTGAAGATTTTTGATAAAATCGCAAGGTCGTCTCGCCGACGAATCTCCGGAATTCCGCGGGGAACTCTCGCTGAAATCGCAGCGAAAGTTTGATATCGCTAGACCAATCGGACTTCGTTCGCCTCCTCGGTAGATTACTTCCGTGCACGCGAGGCAGGAACAGGTAGGTGACACGTACCGCCCCCGTGATTACCGTTTCGTCGGCTGAATGTGCAGGAGCCGCGGGGTGCCATTTAAGGGCGGAAATAGGCGCGAGTGATATCAATTTGGCGAAGCCAAGTTGTATTGACAAACTGGACGAGCGCGTCGGACCGACACGACGCTCGTCTACAACGGCGAGGAGCTTGAGCGGGTAACAAGACGCGTTTTCGAGTACTACCGTTGCGTAATTGCACGATTCAATATTGGTTTTATCGACACTCCGCCATAAATATTCATCATGTGCAAAATTACTCCAATTGTGGGATTATGAATATATAACGGTGCGGCCATTTTTCTCCTTATTACACTGAACGAAACAAATGCTACATTCTAATAAATATCTGCTGAGGAATATTACACAGTTATTATTTTACTTGAATTTAATATTACTTGAATGTAACACACTGAAAGAAAGAGGTACATTTAAATAAAATTCAAGTAAAATAATTATCATAGTAATAGCTTAGTATACTACGAAAAAAATACTTAAAAATTTATTTGTGGGATATAAAATTTATTTTACAGAGAGAGAGAGAGAGAGAGAGAGAGAGAAGGTTTATATTTTTATAATCAATTTTATATCTCACAAATAAATTTTTGAGTACTTTTTTCTTAATACATAGTTTCAAAGTTTCGGGAAAAACCCGTTTTATTCCGAAATTTTTTACGGATTTCACGGAACATATATGAATTTTTCTGAATGAATTTTTATATTCTTGGGAAAGGAAAAAGAAAAATTGGAGATGTCCGTGAAAAAAATAGAAAAGATTGGNTTTTTCTTTCAGTATAAAAATGTTAATATCCAAACATGTCTAACTGTGGGCATCATTGTTTTAGCCTTTAAATACGAATGTTTAAACATAAAATTTATACATATTCAATATATATTTAATATATTCAATATATGTACATGTATTCTATCTTGAAAAGTTGAATATTCATATTCAAAGACAAAACAACAAGAATGTCCAGAGTCAAACACATGTCCATTGGTGCTTTTACGTTAAACTACACAGAAGAAAAACAGTTTTATATAAGTCAATGACAAATATTCCCATATATAAGCAATAATATAATAATTTTAGAAGATTCTTAATCTTGAGTTCAAGTGTTACTACGAACAAATATTAATACAAACTCAATCGAATCAAGACTGAAAATCTTCTAAGAAGATTATAATATTCCTGCTTATTGTAATATTCTTGACTTAAGATTAAGTTTTTTTCTGTACACTCTCATCCTCGAGAAAGTTCTAATTATTTTTACGATCGTGCTACACTCATCGCGTCCGCCCCGAAGCGCAGCTTTCGTAACGATCATCTTCATCTCTGCGGGACTCGCCGTTCCCCGACCGCGGAAGCGGTATATCTGCTGGCTGTACGACGTCAGAGTTAATTGATCATCGCCGCGCGATACGTCGATTCGCGTTAACCAAATATTTTCCCGTTCCGTCGAGTTGTACACTTGTCGTTCTTTAAAATGTCGTACATCGCCCAAGGTCGCGCTCGGGTGTCCTTGGGCCGCAACTGGCGTCGCGAAAAAAGCGTAGAAGCAGTTCCACTCGGCGCGCAAGCCGACGACGTTAAAGAGGCGTAAAATTGACCACGATAAAGCCACTACGTCTTCAGTAGTTTTACCTGTCATGAATTCATCGGCATCATCATGCCGCGCGCGCGCGCGGATTGATCTATCGCGACGTGCCGCGATGGATCGTCCGTCGGCGTATTTATCGCCTCGTCGATTGCCGGCCCGCCGGCAACATATCCAATTGTTCTAATGTAACTCACAAATCACGAACGCGGCTCCCCTGCGCATTATTCAAACGGGCGTAATTAGTTAATGAGGGGCCGATCGATTCACGTCGCGACGCACGGCGACGTTACACCGCGCGTATTATTAGCGAGCGTCACGTTTCCTCAAAGCAAAAAGTGCACCAGCCGAGCGGCGTGTCTCCGTAATCACGTATTGGAGAGAGAAACAGTGGCGTTTCTTCTTCCCTCTTTTTTGCCTTCATTATACACAATACTGTATTTACATTTCCAAAGAGCGCCGCTCGGACTGTTATATTTGTTAATTAACACATATCTGTCGCGCGTACTTCATTTAGATGCACCTCTTTTTCACTGCGTTATTATTTTTTCAATTATGAGATAAGATCGTTATCTAATGACGGGATAGGAAATAATAAGTGTAATTAGTGTCTCTTTTCTTTTTTTCTCCCTTTTTTTATATGATTGACGTTATCGTGCTTCTAACGTGACCGTCTTTTACGCCTTGTGTTGCAGAGGAGATGCAGCATCGCTGTTGGACCTGAGACCACCACGCCGGCTGCGAAAGTCCGTGGGTCCGCATCCGAAATCGATCACGAACAAGTAAGGGTCACTCGTGTAAGGATCACCCCGCGCCGTCATCCTCGTACTACCGTTAAAAACAAGCGAAGCACGAGAGAGAGAGAGAGGGAGAGACTGTTGAGTCGGGTCTAACACAAGAAAAGAAAGAGCGAGCAAAGATCGAGAGACAGAGACCGAAAAGACCGGGGGAGAATCGTAAGGAAACGGAGTCGCTCGAACGAGAGTGAAGGAGTGGAAACAGAGGGAGAGACAGAAACGTGAAAAAACGTATACACACATTTACACGCATAAAATAACATCGCGTGTTTTCGTTGGTACTATTTTTTTTTACATATCCTCGCGCTGTTCTTCATAAAATTTCAAGAGTGGGAAGGAGCCAGGAGGGAAAACAGGAAAGTGATGCGCGCGCGCTCTTCTACCGCCGCTTCAGTAACTTGAATCGATATATAGCCGTGAAAAAATATTCGAAAAGAGATTAACAGACGGTACACACACACATATACACATTCAACTACGGTTAATTGGCATACGAGAGAAAACAAGGGAGTGAGACGGAGAAAGGTAGAAAGAGAGGGATCACTTACAACACCAAGAGAAACGCGCCATAATTGAGAGCGAGAGAAGAAACATGGCCATGGTCCCGGCATGTTCCGTTTCGATGTATCGTCTGCTGAACGTTGCGCTCCTCACGCTCCTCGTCGTTCTGCAAAGTTCTGCCACTGTCGCGGATAAGCCGGGCACGACGAAACCGAACCCGTGCTCAAGGTAAGTGTCTCACGAGTGAAAACCAGCGAGCGAACGAACGAAATTCGGCCTCCGTATTTTCTAGCCGGACACCCCTGACCCGTTCGTGAACCGATCCGGAAAATCGTCGCGTCTCTTGGAAATCGCGTCGTTTTTCACCTTCAAGGTCCCGCCTCGGCGCCGCGACACTGTCGATTCGGTTTCGACTTATTGACCGATAGACAGCTAGACGCTTCGCATCAAGTTGAATAGTCGATATTTATATTTCATGGCCTTTAACCTTTAGAGGGACGGGATTTAAGAGGGCATATCCGCCTTAATAAAGTGGCAAAAAAGGTATCTTATATCATGGATTGACCATACACTAAGTATCGATCATGGGTAGCGCCAATATATTGGCTTTCCGGTCCTCTAAAGGTTAAACCGCGATTAAAGTTATCTTGAGTTATGCAACGCAACATTTGTGTACGCGCGCGCGCGTATGTGTGTGCGTATGTGTTCTGTTTGTTATTCGTGGCGCTTTTGTTCGTCGTGAACCGGAAAACCGCGATACTTTCCTATTTCCGGCTACGGAGAGCGTTCACTCGGTCCTTCCAATTGATGCGGCGTGTTGCCTCGACTCTTTTGTTTCTTCCTCGCGGCTGTCCGCGCGTCGGGACAATTGCGATGATTCGTGAGCCGACGAGCGTACTTCGCGAATGGGTGTTTTTTTTTTTTATTGTACTCTTCTTTTTCTTCTTACGTCTTCCGGGACGTGCAATTCACGAGAGAGGGAGAATCATCTGTCTCCATCAGCGAAGCGGGCGCGACCTCGTCGTTACAAAATAATGCGATCAAGTAAAATCCGTGCGATCAATGCGAGACGAACGTTCAGTTCGAAAGAGCGGGAAATTTCGCGATTTCGGTGGATTGAAGGGCCAGAAAATGAAGAACTCGAAATCCCACGCCGATGTAACTCGCGTACGAGCGCACGGGAAGAAAACGTAGCTCTCACAGGTAAAAATTAGCTGTCCCTGTAATACAATGGAAATTTAGTTAATTTAGCTAATTCCTCTTGTACCTGGTTTTTAGCTGCCACGGCTGAAAACTGGGTCTGGTGACGACATTTCAGTTATATTATATGGACGATTTTTTTTCCCCGTGCGGTTACGTTCACGTGACATGTCGCGAAATTTCGCATCACAGTTATCGTGCGCCGTTCTCATACCGGTCATTGTTTGCGGATTAACGTTAAAGAGTTAATTACCTGGCGGATCGGACGTTGCATTAAGGTAATTTCGTACGGCGCGTAAGCGCGAGTTACGATTGCGCAACGAAGAAAAACGCCAATAATACCGGAAGAGAGCCGATAACGGGCATTTCTGCGGGATCCTCGGCACCGATGCGCGCCGTCGGCGATATTTAATCCGCCGGGAACCTGTACTTACGAGTAATGTAATATTTCACCGGGTGCGAGTAATATTTCAAGATTTACGAATCCACACTGAGAAACCAATTTAGTTGGCTCAAACTAAATTCTTGTTTGGATATAAGTCAAACAAATGTTATAAGAACCAGTTTGGTTTTTTGAAGCAAAAGTGAAAAATATCAGAGAACCAAAGCTTTTTCGCGTCAGCTTGTGCACCAATTTTGTCGCGTCGCTGGGACGTCTTTTTTACACGGAGAGGAAGATATTTCCTTGGATTTCATCAAATTTCTTGAACTGAAACAAATTTGTCCCCTGCAACGGAGCGAACAAAACGTATTTAATTTAGAGAATTAAACCGTGGTTTTTATAACCGAGACATTTGTTCGTCCATATCCAAACGGGAATTTCGCTTCAGTCAACTAAATGGGTTTCTCAGTGCTGTCCCTGGCCAATATTACATTTTCCTCGCTTGGGAGCCGGTCCAAGTGACCGAACCAGAGCGTGCATTTGACGCAGAAGCGAAGTTACCACGTGGTGTGCGGAAGCGCTCGGGTGGCTGAAAAAATAGTCGGCTTTCAAAAATAGCTCGTTGATCGACTGGTCGTCGCATCGCGTTGGTGTGCTTTGAAGAACGCTCGCATTGCTGATATTTCCTAATTTAACGCGTTTAATATCACTCTTTAATGAATCATCGTCAAATAACTTTTTCCCGAACAACAACGAGCGATAATACTCGAGAAAAAGTCCGTTAACGCGGGAAAGAAACGTATAAAATTCCGACCATTAAAATTCCCTCGGCTAATCTACGGTGAGATTTGAGTGATGCTCTTCTCCTTTGCCGGGAGGCGGCATAATTTCGCGGTATAATCGTGTCTCTCTGACGTACGTTAAGGAATTTGTATCGTTTTCAATTGAGCGAGATTACGCGCGCGGCGTACGCGAATATGACGTGCTTGCGCGCATGCTTGCGTGCAAAGTGCCGTCGGTTTAGGGAAACGACCTTAGCAATGAATTTTGTCCCGAGAGCAGGCGCGTGGCAAGTTGGGCTTTAAATTAACGTGTTCCACAAGTACAATGGACGTGACCTTTACGCATGTCTCCGCGCATACATGCTTGCGACATGCTAATGGTAGATTCGTGCTCGCCCGTGACTCACAGATTTTTTTATTCGCGCGCGACCAATGCGATCTTCAGCGTGCGAAATTTTTCTTTCCGACACATTTTTTGCACCAATCTTTTCGTTGGGATGTTCTTTTACATAGAAAAAAAGATTTGTTTGGATTTGGTAAAGTTCCTTCAATTAAAACAAATTTGTTTTTTGGGGGCGAAGCGAATAAACGAATGTTTGATTCGACAAACAAGATTGTTTAGTTTCTCAAACGGTAAATATATCTTCACGTTAAATAACGTGTACACGGAGAAAATATTGTGGTAAAAATTGCTACAAAAGTTGGTAATGTTGGAATATACCGGAATTGTTATCGAAATTACTGTCTGTGTTGAAATCTTTAGTGACATATATGTGCATATCATATGCATATCACTAAAGATTACAACACACACACATAGTAATTTCGATGATAATTCCGATATATTTCGGCATTATAAATTTTTGTACTCATTTTTATAATATTTTCTCCGTGTATCCTTTGCATTTTCATCCAAACATCACAATGTTTGTCACAAACAATAAATTATGTGGAAGAAATAATATTATGTTAGAGAAATGTTAAAAGATACTTCTTTTTGTTTCAGTGGGACAATATTTAGTATTTAATGAAATAAATTTTTTTTTATCAGATTTTTATTGAAAATAAATATTATATATATTTCTATAATACTAAATAATACTGTTTCTTCTATCAACGATATAATTTACTCTAGTGGAATACCAACATTTTCACTCAAACAAAATGATATATTTGATGTTAAATTATATTGTTTGTGTTAAATAAACTCAACAACGTGTATGCGTTTGTTTGAGTTTGTTTAATACAAACTCAAACGCATATACTAAATCTAAAGAAACTTTTTTCCCCAATGTAGAAGGAAAAACGGTCGGAATACGAACCGTTCACATATCTATGTTAATGTTTATCTTTTATGTCTTTTTTTTTATCTATTAGTTTACTTCATTGGGAGGCTTATCTTTTTCATACTAATTCTATTCTAATTTTAGTCTCGGCTTCAGTCGAATACGAGAGAGAGAGAGAGAGAGAGAGAGATATCTTGTAACGAGAATATAACACGCTCCGCCGTGATAATGTCTTATTTGTCATGTTTAATGCATGCAAACGATTGTTCATGATCGATATCGCAGAAAAATCGCGGATTAGTGCGTTGCGAAATTTCCACGCTCTAACGTTACGGTTTTCTCGCGCGCAATAAATTCGCCGACTGCGTTGATGATGCCACGAGATAAAGCCGGCCGCGGACGATATCGCGTCCGTGCACTCCGTAAAGCTCTTAATGACGCGATCTGGGAGAAGGCGACTCCGAGCTAGGGCTTAATTCTCACGCAAAACACGTGACGTTAACTTTGCATCGGTATTTGCGAAACTCTTCTTTTTCTCAACAATCTCGCGGATTTCGCCGCTGCGTCTCGCGATTCCAGCGACTTTTCGCGGCACGGAAGAGAGCTCGAGCCGGATACGATCGCTACTCGTGATAAAACGTTGGAACGCCAAGACCACATAGTAATGATCCGCTAAAGCGACACGGAATCGCGGCGAATCACCGGAAATTTCGCGGCGCGCTCACTCGAAGGTAATATTCGGTAATATCTCGCGCGAAATCAAGCTGTTTCTCTCGTCTTGCAATGGTAAACGTGTTTACCGAGTAAAAACAAACGTGTCGCGACGTGGATTAATCTACACGGAGATTTGGAGGTTCGCGTTCGCGAGATAACGCATTCCGGATGTGTTCGGTTAATAGGCGCGCCTGATGCGCGCGCGTGATTACCAGCCAGATAAGTAAATGCCGAAAGCTGTTTTGCGCGGTTCTCCGCGCGACGACCGACCTATCTCCGGCGTCGTACGAGCTGCTACATGATCAAGGAACGTTCGAAATGCGAAATGAAATAAAGGCACGCGAACAAGCTCGACGTGGAACGTCTCGAGGCAGATAAATTGATTCTTCCGGAGAGATCTTCCGACTGACGTCGTAAAATAAATTAGCATGATCAGGCTTCTTGGCGAAGAACGGTAAATGACGATTCATTTTCGAGGATGAACGCCGGTCCGCAAAAATCAACTTCGACGTACCTCGACGTACTTGTTTTCGCAACTCTATATAATACAGAATTTTGTGTTAAAAACGGTCCATCGAAATTTTGTGTTACTTTAACATGGGGAATGTGTTGAAAATAACATGTAAATATAATGTTAAATTTACACATTCACCTTGTCAACATATGTCGACATAGTTCTCCATGTCAAATTAACATAAAATTTCAGTTGATCGTTTTTAATATAACGTTTTTTTACGTCCAAACGGATGCATCTGTACCTTCGGAGAAAAACTTGGGAAATTTTCGCAAGGGAGAATTCAGTGCGTTCGAAATTTAGCGCTGAACTAACTCCAACTGTTTAATTGCGATAACGGAGAGTACACACAGAAAAATATTATTTCATTGCTAAGAAAGACGATTACTCAGTTTATTTTCTTTTAAGCTACCTTGATAGTCGTCTTCAATAAAAAATATTTTCTTGATAATAGTCTCCAAATGTACTCGTCATAAATTTTAGAAAAGCTCATTATCATGTCTACTCAAAAGAAGAATTTACTCTCTTTTCAAGAATATTATAAACTTTACCGAGAAAAGTTCAATTAATCTGAATAAGCGCAAGCCGAAATTTGTTTTAATTCAATATTCTTGATTCTAATGTTCTGTTCTAAAAATTTACTAGGATTAAGAATAAACTTTTAATAAATTTGATATTCATGATGAGCTTATGAAATACTTGAGACAAGTAACATTTACTCTCGAATGCAGTACATATTTTTCTGTGTATATTATACGATTGGAGGAAAAAGACCATTGTCCTCTTATGAATATTAAATGACTGTCGAATAAATATCCGCGTGTCGCTGAATTAATCGGCCAGCGATTCCCGCGTCGTCGCGTGACGTAACACGTGGAATCGCATTTAGCTGATTAATTGAATCGGCACATAATTAATGCGCGGAGCCGCCGGCACCGCGTGTTCGCGCGCGAGCGGTCTATCGCACCACGTGCGTCTTTTCTCGACCTGATATATGATAATTTTTCTATTGGTACGCGACGCGGTTATTTTCCACGATCACTTCCACCGTGTGCGCGTTTCACGTCAACGTGTACGAAATATTCCGAATTGCGCAGTAAACTTTGTGTTGAAGCTAGGAAAAAAATATTGAGCACGCGTCGTGTATACCTAATAAAATATGTTTTTTTTTTTCTTGAACGAGTAATGAATTAATTATTCTACCGTCTTGAAGAAACAACAATTGAATTATATATCACGGTTATCGTGCGATGCCGAATCCAATAAGGTCGACAATACTCGCCAATGTACTGAGAAAAAAGTACTTAAAAATGCATTTTAAGGGGAGGGGGAATATAAAGTTTATTTCACAAATGAATTTTTAAGTACTTTTTTTCTCAGCGTGCGACGATAACGAACGGGGTTCTCAATGAAAATGTTCTCAATGAAAATTCATCCCGTATATATTTTTATCGAAGGCCAGAGTATATGTAATAACCTCATTTCTACGTAACAACGAAAACGTCACTTGTCAAATAATGCAAATGCTGAAATCGCACTGTCGCATTTCCATACGTTTGAAACGCATTAACATAGATAATGGGCGATATTAAAGAAAATCAGCGTGAATGGTACCTGGTGATTTCACTAAAATTGTTCAAGTCCTCTCTTTCTTGATCTTCTCACTAATGCTGACAACATGGATATGTACGTTTGGATGAATTCCTTCGCACGAAGATAATTTTTTTGATGGTGGCAAATTTGTCATTTATTATAATGACTAAAAAGTTTTGTTATGAGTTACTAACTGCTATTTGCCGAATATACGAACGGCAAATTAATTTGATTAAGACAACTAAATTGTATCGCTGTCGCAACGACGTTTTGCTACGACAGCAAAATCATTTTTTCCGCGTAACAAATCTTTTTGTCGCCATGGTAATTGGCAAATTTGCTATGCCAGCAAAATATTTTTTCCCATGCGTCAAAAAAATTTTTTTTCAATTTTACTCACACATCGTTGACAAAGGTATAAACTAAAAAATATATTTGTGGAATATAAGATTTATATTTCTGTGAAATATAATTAATATATTTTCCGCGAAATTACATGTCCCGCAAATGAATTTTTAAGTATTTTTTTCTCGATGTAGACATACCATCGTTTTCATTACATATCATCGTTACGATCTTTAATTAAAAGGAACGCGCGAATCGAAGGGTCTGCAACTACCTCGCACGCGCCTATTTAAAGAAACGAACCGTCACCGTAATCACGGCCTAACAGGTGACTGTAAGAATCTGAAATCGAACACTTCGTAGAAACATGCTTTACATTCTTTTTTTTTCGCCGGCGATCAAATCATCAGCGCACGCTCGTTTACATATAATGAGGAGACAATGGCGCGGGTCGCGTGATGCGCGAGAGATCGCGACGGTTTCCAACGCGTAGGAAAATTCTGACTGCTTGTTAACGGCGAACGAGCGAGTGAGACGCTGTTTCCCAGCGTTTATGCGTACATTAATGACGGTAATGAAACGGCACATTTCGCGAGGAGGCCAATCGCCGCCGCATCTCGTGCATTCCGTCACGCTAACGCCGCTGCGGGATTTTCATACTGCCACGTCTCTAGAGCCGCGAAATCCTACCCGGGCGCGATTATTGATTGCACCTTCGTGACGGAGATTTCACCTGTCGCGTCTTTAAACCCTCATATCGTACGCGTGAGGAGACCCGTGCGATCGCGAAGCGCATCCGAGATACGCCGTAGAAGTTTCGCGTCCAAGGCCGCGGCAGTATTAGAAGTCGCGTCCGTAATTTCGCACGTACCGAGGTCCACGTTGCGTCCCCATGAATTTGTCGAAAGTAATCCCCTGTGAGCCGAAGTGAGGAGAATTATGTAACTCTCTCAGTCGCGTCGACGAGAGTATCACGTCATAACGCTCCGATTCTCCACGACGCGTTCTGTCTCTTTTCTTCTTACATTTCGTATATTACAATGTGTGATCCAATGTTGTATTAATTCAAAGAAGTGTTATGAAACGTCGTATGCTTCGGCAAAGTTAAGATTTGCCCTCGTCGGGTGCTTCACGCTTCTCGATTCATAATTTCGAACGCAACGGGACGTTCTCTTTCTTCCCTCCTTCTTTCGCGAAACTTTACGACCGTAATTATTACGCGAACACGCTTCGAATGATCCGTTCGAGTACGTTCTCTTTATGAACACCGATTTAATCCTTCTCCGGTCCGACCGAAGAGGTGTATCCGGAAATGAATCAGAATACCACTCTCGCATCTCGTCATTAATAACGAGCATGTTATTTTTTCTTTACATTTTGCTTGGATCTTTATCGTCGCGCTATTATCGTTAATAATCATGGACGATTAAGGATTCGCAGAATTGGCGCTGTAGTTTCGAGTCGGTCGAAACCCAACGCGGGTCCCTCGAGTGAGCTTGACTTTGCACCGCAATGAAAGGAGACTTTAAGGCCTAATTAACACCACACCTAAAAAGATGATAGATACACTACCAAAAGAAATTGTTTAATCTTACACAATTTTAAATCTATTTTTTTCAACTCTTCCGGTAGATAAACAATACGTATTTATTTGACTTGAGTTTAAAGCAAACAACAACAATTTAACATCAAATATTATTTTGTTTGAATGAAAATGTTATTGTTTTACTCAAGTAAATTATGTTATTTGATAGAAAAACAATATTATTTTGTGGAAATATATGTGTAATGTTTGATTTTTAATAAAAAAGAAGTTCTCCAATATTTTTCTAACATAGTGTTACTTCTTCGAAATAATTTATTACTTGCGACAACCATCGTAATGTTTGGATGAAAAAGATGCAAAAGAAATATATTACTTGACGTAAAGATATTTATCATTTGATGGGCCAAACAATCCTGTTTGTTAAATCAAATTCGTTTGCTCCATTCAAAAGACAAATTTTAACGGAATTTTATCAAATCTAAAGAAATCGTTTTCCTTGTGCATCAAACGACTTCAGTGGTCGTTTTATCGTGAGACCCTCATTGCGGTGCAAAGTTCGCAAGGTTCACCCCGCCGGTCTCTCGTTCCGCGTTGCGTTCAGCCAAAAAGCGAAAGCGAGCGAGGGGCCACCGTCGTAGCGATAACTCGCGATCGGCAGGGTGTCTCCTCGCGATGAAGGCCCACACAATTCCCTGGCGTTTCCAGTGAGATATACTGCTACGGTGAGCTGCTGCATACGATACAGATGGCCGGCCTATACAAGGATTCCAAGTACTTCGTCGACATGAAGATGAAGCGGCCGTCGAACGAGACCCTGACGTCGTTCGACACCTTCATGAGCAGCCTGCACAACAAGCCGCCCACCAAGCGCCAGGTCGAGCAGTTTGTCAACGAAACGTTCGAGCTGCCGGGCTCCGAGTTCGAGGAGTGGGACCCGACCGACTGGAAAGCCGAGCCTGCGTTCCTGCGCAAGATCGAAGACCACGATCTCAGACAATTCGGCTACGAGCTCAATAGCATCTGGAAGATGCTGGGCAGGAAAATGAAGGAGGATGTGCGGATCAACGAGCAGCTCTACTCGATCATCTACGTGCCGAACCCAGTGATCGTGCCCGGCGGCAGGTTCCGCGAGTTCTATTACTGGGACTCGTACTGGATCGTCAAGGGCCTCCTGCTGTCGGAGATGCGCACCACCGTCAAGGGCATGCTGAACAACTTTGTGTCGATCGTCGACAAGATCGGCTTCATACCGAACGGCGGCAGGATCTACTACAAGATGCGCTCGCAGCCGCCGCTGCTGATATCGATGGTTCACGAGTACCTGAAGAATACCCACGATCATGAATGGCTTAAACAGAATCTCTGGTTGTTGGAGAAGGAGTTCGATTTCTGGATGACGAATCGCACGGTGAACGTCGAGAAGGATGGCGTCAACTACACCTTGGCGAGGTACTACGAGGAATCGTCCGGCCCACGACCGGAGTCTTACAAGTGAGTAGTGGTGGCGTTTCCGCGATCGGACTCGATGACGAGGCGGATCTCACGGAAAGAGGAGGATAATGACGATGAGTGATTAGTCCGGTCGAAACGAAGCCGGGGTTATTATTCCGAGGAGGCCGGTCGGCTTCTGCTTTGTCGGTGGTTATTATTACTCTGTCGGTTATTATTACTCTGAACTGGAAACGATAGTTTTCATAAATTGCGCGGTAATCGTCGCGCTTGAAGAAGAACGTTAATTTTTATGACACTCGCGCTATTATATGTCGCGAGATAGTGTCGCCGTAATTATCGTCGCATTTAGGCGGCTGAGGTGCACAGTAAAAAATTTGCGTTAAATTTAACACATTTCGTTTATCCCAAAAAACGGTGCATTCCAAGTTTTTTTGTTAATTTAACACAAGATGAATATGTTGAAAAGTAACACAAATATTATGTCGAAAATTAACGCAAAATTAATACTTTTTAATCAGTACTGAAATATAAAATATATTATTTTAACATTTATATGTTGAATTTTAACACCGATATGTTGAATATCGACACAACACAATATGTTAAATTGACGCACAGTGGGTATGTTTAAAATTTAATACAAAAATATTAACAAGAACCGACTTTAACACAAGATGTTTTTTACTGTGTGCTCTGTGAAATTTTTCGTTCTCTTTTTTTTTTCACTTCAAATTCTCTTCCCGTTTTTCTCGCGCTCCGACTCCGCCCTCTTTGAGATCCGTCGATTGTCATTTTGGAGAATTTTTTCCTTTAATCTCGCGATCTCGATCGATCAGGGAGGACTTTCTGACAAGCCAGAGTTTCCGAACCGCCGAAGAGAAGGACAATTATTACTCGGAACTGAAAACAGCGGCTGAGTCCGGCTGGGACTTTTCCAGTCGGTGGTTCGTGCACGAGGGCACCAACAAGGGTAATCATTGTTATTCCTCAGTTACTTCTTGCGCGATCAAGTCTCTCTCCTTTTCTCTCTTTTCTGTGGGTGAGCGACGTTGAATAAAAACAAACACATTATGCCGCGTGAATGAGGCAGTTCTGATCATCCGATAAAACAACATTGCCATAGACGTGACATAATATGACGTACCGCGCTAATCGTTGTTACACGATAAAAACAAAAACAGATGTTTCGCGTGTGGAGGCAACTTTATCACGGAGGATATCGTAGATTAATCGAAGCGATAGATCAAGTTCTTGCGAATCGTAGATTCTACGGATTAAACGATCATTCGGGAGTCCTGGCGAAGAAACGGCACCGAGTTTCGAGGGGCTATTTTCTTGTGCACGTGCGATCTATCGGTCGCGATTTTGTAAATTTTTTCTCCCTTTCCATGAGTCGTGCCGAAGTGTTTTAACAGTAATGTATCATTTACGCGCGTACGTTAACAATTATTGCGCTATACGAAAAGAAAAGCAGAAAATAGCATTAATTTAAGACTCATATTTTCGTATATAAACAAGAATATATAGTCTTATATGAAGATAAAACTTGCTCTTATATACGTGAGGAAATTCTATATAGTTTCACTAATAATATAATAATATTTTTTAAATATTTCTTTATTGGGCACTATATAAATAATTGCAAAGTTTTAAATAGTAGAAAAGTATTGAAGATACTATATTAAGAACGACCAAAAGACGCAGTAACAGTTGTAAAACTGGTTTTACCGCCTTGTCTAAGTAGGTATAAATGAATGAATAAAATAATGATGTTTAATAAATGACGATATAGAACATACACAGAAAAAAATTAATTTTAAGTCAAGAATAAATATTCTCATATATAAGTAAAAACATTCTTAAAAGATTTTTAGTTTTGATTTGTTTGAATTTGTATTGATGCAAGTATTACTTGAACTCAATTTAGGACTTAGGATCTTCTAAGAATATTATAATATTTTTACTTATATATAAGAATATCTTGATTCAAGGCTAATTTTTCTTCTGTGCATGTAACTGAAAATTTAAATAGCAAAACGTAAAACGACGCAAAAATATTCTTGTTATTCAAGAATAATTTTTATGAATTTTGAAAGGAAAAACTAACGATAAAAAGAACGATATCTTCAGACTGGTACAATTCTTAGTTTGAAGCTATCGTTCTTTCTAATATTGTTTCCTTCCTAATTCACGAAAATTACTCTTGAATAACACGAATACGATCATTTTAATGTAATTACATAGAATTTCTTTATATACGCAAGTTTTATTTTATCGCATAAGATTATGTACGAGAATATGAATCTTGAATTTATACTAATTTTCTCTTCTACGTACGTATTCCGCATGAAACGCCGCCCGCCGTATCTTCAATGAGATCTGTGCGCGCGTCCGTCAAGGCTCTCCGTGTCTGGTTTCCCAAGTGAAAGCCTCGTTCGAGGCTCAACGATACTCTAGAATCCATCCTCGCGAGATCAGGATGTCGCGAAGTGCCGGGATCCTTCGCTTAACTGCCTCGTAACGCTCGGCACAACCTCGCTCGTCTCCACATTGAGGGAAGATACAGGTCGGCGATCACTCGTCTCTTGTCGTTTGGCGAACGACGAGAGTCTCCGCGAGCCGGGGGCCGCAGGAGGACTGACGACTGAACGACGAATTGCAGGTAATCTGACGAACCTCAAGACCAGGTCTATCATCCCGGTCGACCTGAACACTATAATATACCGGAACGCCCGGCTGTTGGCCAAGTATAACCGTCAGATGGGCAACGAGACGAAGGCCGCGTATTACGACGACATAGCCGAGAAGTGGAAGGAGGCGGTCACGATCGTGTTGTGGCACGAGGAAGTGGGCGCCTGGCTGGACTACGATATCCTGAACGACATCAAGCGCGACTACTTCTACCCGACCAACATCTTGCCATTCTGGGCCGACTGCTACGACACGTCGAAGAAGGCGGACTATGTGTCGAAGGTGCTTAAGTACCTGGAGAAGAGCGAGATCATGCTGAACGACGGCGGCATACCGACTACGCTGGAGCACTCCGGCGAACAATGGGACTATCCCAACGCCTGGCCGCCGCTCCAGTATTTCTTCATCATGTCGTTAGACAACACGGGCGACGCGTGGGCACAACGGCTGGCCTACGAGATCAGCGAGAGATGGGTCCGCAGCAACTACAAGGCTTTCAACGAGACGCACAATATGTACGAAAAGGTAATTTCCGCTCAATTGTAAGGGCTATCTTGCGTATTCTGTTCCTTTCGTTCATTCTGCTTTTTTTTCCCCCCTTCCATCTTGTTCCCTCCTTTCTTGTTGGAATTTTCATCGAGTTGACATTGACGTGCTCATTGCTTGAAACCATTAATCGATTTGTCGGTTAATTTTTGAAGCTTTTTTCAATTTTAAAGATCTCTTGAACGTTTAGACTTCTTTCTTCGATGATACGAGTGCACTGAAGAACAGATTCGGACAATTAATAATTACTACTACTATTCAGACAATTACTAATTACTACTACTATTCGGACAATTACTAAAATTTGGTTAAATAGTTCCAATTAAATTGCTTGGTTACTGCAACCAAATTATTTAGTACTATATTCTTTTTGTGCTGTAATACCATACTATATTATATATACTATATACAGTACACGGAGAAAATATAGTAAAAATGACCACAAAATTGTGTAATATTGGATCATTCCGGAATTAGAACTGAAATTATGATGTGTATTGTAATCTTTATTGATGTGTTTGATTGTACACATCACTAAAATTTACAATATATAATTTCAGTCATAATTCCGGTATAGTTCAACATGTTCTTTCAGTGTGGTTAATTCTTTCTGTTGTGTATAATTCATGTTAAATCCGAAAAGGGAAATTTTGTATTCTCTGTTCGCAGTACGACGCGACCGTCTCGGGTGGGCACGGTACTGGGGGTGAATACGAAGTTCAGCTTGGTTTCGGCTGGTCGAACGGAGTCATTATGGATTTGCTGAATAAATATGGTGACAGGTTGACCGCGGAGGATTTGTTCAAGCCCGGCGACGTAGTCGAGAACGCGGCACCACCGCAGGTTGTCGTCTCGACAGCCGGTAAGATGCTGACCGGCATTTTAACTATCATCATATCATTAGCGGCAGGATTTATAGGGTGAGGTGAGTGTCGGGTCGGCGAGAGAAGAGAGTATTTTGAGGAAACGGAAGAGACTTGATCATCATGCCCGAATCGATTCGACTTAATCGCGTTCCACGATCCTCGAGTCTTTTCCGTCGATTAAGCAGACGAACATGTATTAACAAAAATGTGTTCCCTGCTTTCTGTTGCAGATATGCACGTGATCTAAGTCAGCTAGGATATTATTAGCGAAAAACTCGGAAGATCGATCGCTAGACGATAGATACTTTCCAGGCCAGAGGGAACTTAGATCGACCTGAGCAATATCTCGGTTCTTCTTCCTCGATCGTCCGGTTTTATGTGGTTTACTGAGCGGACGATCGACGAAGAGATCGCGTAACGGGTAAAGGGACCAAATAGAAGCAAGTGCGGGCACTATTCTTCTTCATACGGATACTTCTGAGAGACCCCGCAAGTACGCGGGGCCCTCCTAAACGAGCGTCATTTTTATTCTTGCCACACGTGCTTCCAAAGGATATTTCATAAGTCGTAGGATATACGTATATGCATATATTATTACACACATATATATTTTTTAAGGATATTACTTCGCTAGGATATCACTTTGATACTTGGAGTATCCGCGCTCGGAAGGGGCACAAATCCCACCTCTGATTTTTTATTCGCTGCAATTTTTCCTTTATTCATGATATTCCCGAGATCGATATCTCTGTACTAGATTATCAAGGACTACATGATATCATCCTTTAATCCTATCGTAAACACATCTGCCTTCTTCCCTGGGATATCGTGGCCCTTCTCGCGGACACGGATAACGTAGACGCGGGATCTATTATCGCTCCAGACAATTGTCGTCTAATTACTTAATCGTTCCATCAGACGCGCGCTGTTACGAAAGACATTTCTGTGATCACTTGAACGAACTACTTCGCTGGTCGAATTACGTTCGTAGCATTCTCCTTCTCGCGGGAGGCCACGTGTTCTTTTAGTGGCTCCAGATCTGAAGTCGACGAAGTCCTCGAATTTAGTCGATATACCGACGACGTACGTTACTTCGTTTTGAGACTAGCTACCACTTATCACTAATTACTATACTAGTATTATTAGCTGTTAGATAAATTATTACGTCGCACTTGTATGTACATATACGAAGAAAAGGAAGGGAGAGAGAGATAGAGAGAGAGAGAGAGAAACCGACGCCGCTCCGGGGTATATGCCTCCCGGAGAAAGGTTTCTCGTGCGAGTGAAAAGAAAGATAAAGGACCAATGCGCTTTCGTCAGGATATCAATCACGGATAAAGGAAAAATATAACGAGAAAGATTCCGCTCCTACTCGTACCGCGTGAAGAGCGGACTCATCTAGTCAGTTATGCGTATTTAGACGCGCCTAGCTAGCTTACTTTTACGAATCTGTAACAGTGACATCGAAGACCGGAGCGTCGTTATGGACGTTATCGCCGATAAATCCCTCGGAGATCCTCGTCCGTCGCTCGGAAAGTAACTTGAGATCCTCCGACCAGTATACGGAGCGAATAGTTAGCACGAAGCGTTAAAGCGTGAGTCGAAGAAGCGCGTGATAACGAATGATGACGGACGGACTATGGGCTCGTTGATAACGCCGCTCGACAAACCAGCGACAGAGATAGTCCGCCCCCAATTTGAGAGAATTGTCGCCTGTGTACGCGTGTTACAATTCCTTCTTTGTCCATTCACGATTCATCCGCTTCGCGGCAAATCAGCGAACACTCTCGATATATCGTAATATATACTTATATAGCGAAATACTTTAGAGATAGAGAGAGAGAAAGAGAGAGAGAGAGAGAGAGAGAGACGCTATGATCTCGTGAACTATCGTATCCATTCCTCGGATCGCTCTGAGAATAGATCCTCCGGTAAGGAATAGAAGTTAGTAGTACTTTCAAAGGAATAAACTCGATGTTCTTCGAGGAGAGAATGCAAGGATCTAGCGCGAACAGGCGGATTTTCTATCATTTATTCGCATTCATCGAGTTACTCTCCAAGCAGGATTAGCAAGCCCGCCGATTAATTAGCTCTGTATCTCTGTTCCGAACGATACACTCTTTTTTTTTTCTTTTTTACACTTGTTATCGTCGGTCGAGATGAGATGTTTTAATAAGGCATGCGTGAGATACATATATCGCGATTGTGCAGCTTGTTCTGCGAGAAGACTCGTCGCACGATTCATTTTTGCCCCGCGTTGGAATCGTGCTTGCGTCACGCATGCTCTCCCCGCATCCGAGTCCACCTCCTTGGACGATAACTCAATAAAATAAATAAATCGAAGTGCCCATGTAACACCTGTCCCTTGCAACACACCTCTACCGAGCATCGCGCACGTGACCGGTCCCGCATTTTGTGCTCTGCACTAACTTCGGCGGCGGTGATGATTTTCACGTTAGAGCGAAAGACGCGTTCCAGATACACGTACGCTCTCCGTCTCTCGGAGCTAGATCGGACAAAAAGGGACACTTCGTTCCGTCCGGGAGGTTTGGTAAGTCCGTGCAACCGGATGTGCCGGGGATAACGCGAGGCGATACTCTGTCGAAGCGGTTATAACACTTGTGACAATAACTGGAAGACACCGTCCGGTCGATGCGATGCCGCGAAACTAAACGCAATTTTACGTAATGTATTGCAGAATATGTGATCTTTGGCGAATGAAGGGAAACCAGATTTATTCTTGCGTTACGGTTTAACTCGGAGACGAGCGCGCAACGTTGAAGCACCTTGAGAACGAAATTCGCGACAGTATAAATAATAAAGAAGCGATCGATATAATAACAACAACAATAATAATAATAAGTGAGCGATACTATTAGAATACACGAAGCTGTCACACACACCCACACACAGCCAACCAGAGACGATGTTTATTTGGATTCTCCATGCAAGGCATTTAAGTCTTCTTCGTTGTTGCAATAATTATCATTCCGCCAGTGGAATGGTTTTCGCGCGCGCGACGGCGACTGCGAGAGTGCACCTTCGATAGTCTACCATCAAAGTAATTACACAGATACAGTCGAGCCCGTGATGATTGTACAGGATGATCCAAAAGACGCCTACCGGTCGGCGGAGGACTCGAAGCCGGCTCTCTCGTGCGGGGAATTGGAGAAACTCGGGAAAAGGAGGGAAGTAATGCGAACAATGTAAGCGCCTGTGAGAAAAAATAACCGACGATGCTTCCTCTTTCGTCGATAGACAAGGTTCCCCGATTGCCCGAAGAAACTTTAAGGCGTCCCAAGATGTCGTAAAGATGTCATGTAAATACCTCATAAATATGTCTTTGAGACAATGAGACGTCTTTTGGACACACGTGTTATGTCGGATATAACCAGTCGCGAGCGTTACGGAATCGAATGATAACAGAAAAGTCGACGTTTCAAAAATTCTGCCTCGTCCGTTCGTTCGGACAAAACCATTCGGCCCGAGGTAGCCCAACGCACGCCAATTGACAGGTGCGCTCAAGTCTCGCGGGCAGAAAAGAATTTAACGCCCGGACCGGAACTTTCTCCTGAGAGAACCTGGAACACACTCGGAAATACACCTCCTCGAGTCCTCCTCGATCCTACACGCGTATTTTAGGCACTCGGGCTGCTCGTTTACACTGCGACCTACATGATGAGATATCGTGATGCAACGAAGCTACTGGCTATGCTGCGTGTGTGAAGGTGCCGATACTATTACCACAGCATTAGCCAGCCGGCCAAGCAAGCGAGCAAACACGTGGTGCAGAGAAAGAGGAGGAAACGAATGGCCGCCAGTTGGATATACACGTGATGTAAGCGTGCCTGCATTTGCTATTCAGACTTTTTGCAAGAATTCCTGCCGGCACTAGATCGCGCTCTCAAGGATTGGCCGGCGATCGTATCGATAGAACGCGCGGTGATGCCCGGTTACGAGCAGCGAACTGGTCGTGAGCTTGTCGTGCAACTGAGAACGCGCAGGAATGAAAACCAAGTCGCGCACGGAACAGGCCGATGAGGGGGATCCCTCCGAACGGGAGAAATTTACGTTTGACAGCTGTAGACTGCAGCGACGACGACTTACGCGATACTTCAAGTATTTTCGCCTTGGAGAGGAATCGAGGTGGAGAAGGAGGAGGAGAATAATCGACGCGAGAAGCGCACTCACTCTGATAAAGCGGCGTCTTGTGTATACAATGATAAATATGCAATTTCACGAAAAGCTCTCCGATATCTGTGACGTAGACCGGCGTAGTGTCTGAGCAAATCTAGCGGTTTCGCGGGAGAAAGAAAAGTCTCCGGCGTTTTCGGCAGACCACGAGATAATCGCGAAATAACGTGGTCTGGACAGCGAGATCATGTAATTTTTTCCTAGGAAACATGGAAAATGAGAATTCCCAAACGCTTCCAAATTAGAAAGACTTTATACTTTTTAGAAAAAGCTTTCCATTTTTTAATTCAAATTCTTTTTCTTTCATGCTACACAGAGAAAAAAAGTTTCTTTGGATTTAATATACATATTTGTTTAATATAAACAGCATAATTTAACACCAAAATATTTTGTTTGAAAATATGAAAAATGAAAATGTTTTACCAGAGCAAACTTTGTTGTACGATAGGGAAAAACAATATTATTTACAGAGAAAATAATATTTGGTTTTTGATAAAAAAAATTTCATTATATATTAAATATTGTTTCACTAAAACAAGAAAAGTTCTTCAATATTTTTCTAACTTACATTGACAAAAAAAAACTTAAAAATTTGTTTGTAGGATATTAAGTTTATTTCACAGAAATAAGATTTTATTTCTGAAATAAATCTTGTATCCCACAAATAAATTTTTCAGTATTTTTTTCTCAATGTAGTGTTGATTCTTTCAAATAATTTATTGCCTGTGACAACCATTGTAATATTTGAATGAAAATATAAAAGAAATATGTCATTTGACGATATTTGTTGTTTGAAAAATGTATTGTTTGAGAAATCAAAAAATTCTGTTTGTTGGATCAATTGTTTGCTCGCTCCATTCTAAAAGACAAGTTGTTTCAATTGAAGAAACTTTATTAAATCCAAAGAAACCTTTTTCTGCGTAGATTCACGAGTGACACCCAAAGGGTCATGAATCTTGTCCTCTAGCGTAAACTCATGAAAAGTGGAAATTTTCTAATTTGAAAGCACACTTGGGAGAATGTTCGCGTTTTCGTCCTTGAAGAAATTACGTGATTGCTGCCCTGGTCGCACGCAAATATTGAAACAGCGCACGTAGTTGGACGATATCGCGACGTGTTTCTCAGGAATATACTCTTATTTTTGTTTTTTAACACAACTGATTTTTCGTAGATATGACATTCACCATTGTCACACACCAATGCATTCACAGAATCGTTATCAATTCCTCACGACTTGCTCTTTTCAAGGAATCGGTCGAATCGGCTGGTAAACTCTTCGTCTCTTCTTTTGCAGAATGGTGGTTTACAAGAGACGGCAGTACTACGCACCCGGTCCCGGACCGAGCAGAACGAATTACAACTTGCCGAGCGGCAGCTGTTCCTGCAGCCTATTCCGCAAGCGGATCGCCTACACCGAACTAAAGGACATGAACAACGATTGATGATCGCTCGTTGTCTAGACAATCGATTCGCTTAATTGACTAGTGAAAGAAGGTGGTAACACGCGTGCGCTTGCGCAAGCGCGCGTGCGAACAGACGGACGGATGGACGTGTCGCAGGACGACGCCAGCAGGACGGACCGAGCCAGGATGTAGCGTAACGTCGCCGGTGTGATCGCCGAGCGTGAACAGGATACAGCTGCCTCGAGGATGGAGAAGAACGAGACTGACTGGTGCGAAGATCGCGGCTGAAGATCATCAAGGTGGAAGATCAAGGTGGGAAGAGGAGGAGGAGGAGAAGAAGGCGTGCAGGTGTTCAGCCAGGGGAATGGCACGTCACGACAGCGCGTCGCATCGCCTCGACAAGGTTCCCCGGCCTGCAAGCACGAGAAGCGCTTTCGGTCGGAACGCTCGCTCGCTCGCTCGACCACCGATGACCGCATGACCGCGCCTTGAAGAGGAAAGTATGACCAAAGAAAAGTCTCTGAGAGTCGCTGCCTCCGTCTGGCCTAATGATGTTCGTTGCGTTCGCGAAACAATGCGATTTAGAGCAAGATAGAGATAACGAGCGACAGATGAGGAAAGATGCGCCGGAAGTAGGTGTGAACGTGGGATGAAAGAAGTTAGCACGTGTTTCCGCCAACGGAGAGCGATCTTGCAGGATCTAGTTCGAGTTTGTAGCGTTAAATGTTGCGAACGGTGGGCTAAAGAAATATAGGCCGATGTTCATCGCCGGATCTTAAGGTCGTCTTAAGATGAACTTAAGTTCATTTTTAGATTTATCTTTAGATTTGCTTTATAGCCAATAAAATTTGCCGTATAGCGTCTAAAGATGAACCTAAGATTTTCAGTATAAAATTTGACCATGAATACACCGTCTATGCATCACTCATCGCGTCGCCCGAACAATCAAAAGTAGGAGATTCAAAGTTTTCTCAAGCACAGGGCAGGGGAGGGCAGGTTATTGATGAAAATAAATAAAAACAACGGCGGAAAAGTCGACGGACTCTGCAATTTGCGGATATCGGTGACTAAGAAGGAAAAATAGTACGTGCGTATGTATTTGTGTATATGTATGTATGTGTGCGATTTGTACAGGAGAAATTATGCCGGATATTTTGCAGGATATCGTGTGAAATAGTTGCTATGAATAAGTAAATATAAATAAATATATGTATTTATATTTATTTATACATTGAATAAATAAATAAATATATATATATATATAATTGTTATAATCGTAGATAATTGACGATACTAAACAGATAAATTATTGACGAGAATGTTGTATTTTTGCTGATATTTTTATAAACGAGTACATGTACGATTATTAGCATTACTGCGATTGCACCGAGCGTCCGTACATCGATACGCCGCATATGACAATTTTTAATCACCGTTTTCGGATCATCATCGTCCCGCCGTCGAGATCACAACTTGTAAGTCGATTGAAAGTTCCTTTTGCCGAACCTTCGAGAGAGCTTTCATGCGCGCTCAAATAGTTTTACTCGCCGACCGGAGGAATAGCTATGATTTTTTGCGATTTATTTATGTTTTATTAATAAAAGTCTTATTTAACTTTCAAATGAGGCTTCTCAGAATAGAGAACAAATACTCGTCCCCCGAAGACGAGAGAGATAGAGACACCGGAAGAGCGACGAATGTGTATCTCTAATTTGCATTTGCACACCGCTCTCTTTTCGTCGTTACGCGTTATCTCCTCCGCGAGATAGAGAGGAGGAATGGCCATTTTATCATAAATAACATACTAGCGCCATGCTCTATGCTGTGATTCTTGCTCTTATTGCCGTCTGCCGTATTTTTAGTCCATGACGGCCGCACGTGCGTGTGGATCACAGCGAGAGCGCAAGTGCCTAGGGATAAACCGATAGACCGCGCGAACCTCGGGCGAAAGAATGTTGCGCAACGATCGATTGGCCGATCGTAGGAGACGACGAATCGTCTATTGATAGTTGCGGTTACTAATTACCGTAATGATCAACGTCGAATGCCGAGCAAGATTTAGGTTTTAACTTCATTTTATTAGTATTATTAATATTATTATTATTATTGTTATTATTGTTAATATTATTATTATACATACATATATATATATATATTTTTTTTTTTTTTTTTTAAGAAGACAGCTTGTTGAATCGCCAAGCGTCTCGATTGACTCCCCGTTTAAGTAGCAACGACGATAGTCAGCGAAGGATAACAATCGTGGAACTCTAATTAGTCGCAAATATCCGTCGTAGATAGTCACATTCTTTATCTTCCTTTTGTGAATTTTACAATCGGGTAAATTTCAGTACCATCGAACCGTCGGACGTCGTTCGTTACATCGAGTCGGTTTGCAATGGTTGGTTTTAACTTGGTTTTAACCAGGATCCTTCGCGTCTATACATGGTTGTGCGAATCGTGAAAATAATATCGATGCACGAATCGTCAGCTCTCATAATCACTTCAACTAGGTGTCAAACAATATTTGTTGCATTGTTTGAAGATTTATTGTATTTTATCCAAGATTATTATTATTATTATTATTATTATTATTATTGTTGTGAAAGTTCTCGGAAGTGGACTCGATGCGACGGAATGCTCGAAATCGCCCATTCGCGACGTCACGGTGAATTTCGAGCTATTCTCCTCGCAATCGTTTTAAAACCGAGACGAGAAAAGCCATACATGAGGAGACACGGTTGCGTAAAGCAACGCGATTTTACACAAATACCGATTATATTTGCGCGACTAGACAACGCGAAAACAACGTGCCGTTGAAGCTTGCACGAGGAGAATCGCGTGGCGTTAATATAATCGCTGTTCGTGTAACGAGGATCGAATCGCGAGGATCCGAAAGAATGTCTCTTGGAGAGACGCGCTACCTCAAGAAGGAGCGTTCCTAGATTCTAATGTGCGTAGACGTGTGCGGAGGAAGAGCGGCGATCTCGTTCGTTGACGAAAGCAGTATTAACAGAGCACGCGCGGATAAGTGAAATCCCGTCGGAGACACATGTGTCATTGATATCACGGGAAACGATGCCAGAAATGCACCGCGCCCGGGTTACTGCACTGCGATTTGCGCGTTTAAGGGCTCAGACGCAGTAAGAAAAATAAGAAACGAGAAATTAAATTTCGACGTAGACAGCCATGCTTGAATCTACAGAAAAGGAACAGGAAACAAGTTAGGTACATTGTCGAAATTCTATTCCTTCTAACCTGTGTGCTTATGAGGCTTCGTAGTTGACTGAAAGTCAACCTTCAAAATGTTTGATGACTATCAATATACAAGTGAAAATCAGTTTGAATCAATCGATAATATTAATCAATAATTATCGAGAAAATGATCAAAGTGTCAATGATGACAGTAGAGGTTCTTTAGAAAACAAGAAAAGTGGTGATCTCGTTTCAAAGTATTATTTTATCTTATTATTTATTCTTTTTATTGTTATAGACATATAAAATAGTCTGAGCACTCCCATTGGAGGGGAGTGCTCAGTCACTATGACCACTCTTGCGTTTTCCCTATATTACCCTCTCCTACAGTATCTTGTGACAGAAAACATCACTGTCAATATTTCTGTTCTTTCATCTTGGCTCTCCAAGAGGAAATGCTCAATCTATTCTATATGTCTGTCTTATTGTGTTTCAAACTATAGCTTATTCTCAATATCTTATTCCTAATTCCTTTTAATTCCTTATTCCGTATTCCTTTTACTGTGTCTGAGCTCTGATAGTAAATATTATATTTTTTAGTGAATATTAGTCCTCTTATGTAAGGAAGATCCACTGACGGAACGTTGTGCTGCAATTTCTCGCGCCCGTGACACAAAGCTCGGATGCACCGAACGTGATATATATATATATATATATATATATATACACGTATATAAAATAAATTGTAGTCTAATATTTCTCGTGACCTGCGGTAAGCTTAAACGCGATAGTCGAAAATTTTCAGGGTTTCATAAAGTTTAATAAATAAAATATGCTTGCTGAGGCGACCGTTCCACCCGAATCTTGTCAGATTTTCTCGAGATGAGAAGAGACCATATTGATTGAGACCTTTAGATGACAAACTGATTGATTCCACTTTTCATTAATTTCTCAATCGAGAAACCAGCAAAGAGCGAATCAATTTGGTACCCGAGAGACTCGGTTATCCGTAATTTGTACGCTGCGGGAATAAAAATGTCAGTCGCGCTATTAATATGAGCGATCGATAAGTAGCGATCGAAAAAACCAACACACCGATTGTAGATAGTATATATATACATGTATAAATATATACGATACGTACATACACATACACTTCGATAATTGTGATACTTGGAAGTAAGTAGGTACGTTCACTCGCTGTTCCCCACGTTGCATCGAGTCTTTCCTTTTGATTTCCGTGTCACCTTGGTCCGGTGGACACCACGGAACCTCCCTCCGACCCGTTTTCCGTCCGACGCGAAAACCGGTCGACGGCGCGCGCCACGATAGTTAGAGAATAATTTATTGAGCATTCTGTACAAAGATCACACTCTCTCCGCCTACGATCCTCTCTTACGCTCATCTCCTCCTCATAGAAAGAGAAAAATAAACAATGTGTATGTGTGTGTATATATATATATATATATATATGTATATATATATATATATATAATGTATATATACACATTTATGTATAAATACATAATAATATATTTATGTATGATTATACATGCGTTCAGTGCCTTCATCAATGTTACGAATCGTCTTTTAGCGCGCGCGAATTAGTGCGTAGATTACACTAAGAACTCGCACCCCCTTCCCTTCCTCCCACCCTCCCTCCCTATCTCTCTCTGGCTTCGTCCCTATGGGCGTGAACCCGTGGGGAGGAGATCACGTTTGATGACGCGAGGTAAGTGACGCTACCGTTGCGCCCAACGCACTGTTCGTTGCCGCGCGAATAAAAATGATAACACACGTGATATATATGTGTGTGTGTGTGTATATATATATATGTGTGTATATATATATGTATGTATGTATTAGATAGATATATACTTGTAGATGATTATTTGTATTTGTACACAATACTATATATAACAACAAGGAAAAATACTGAATGAGAAACAGATGCCTTATTTGGTGTATCACACGGGCGCAAGCCAGAAAACCATGTCGCAATATATAGAGCATCTATTTGGTTGACTATACAATTTAATACTCGTTGCTAGCGGGGAAAAAACTCGACTACGTTACACTACTTAAATGAAACGTCACCTCTCGCGCGGTTTCTTTAAACGTATTACACTTTACGAGTACGTGTGTACCCACGTTACACAAATATAAGTGGAATATTACAGACTATATACTTTATACAATACTTGTCGAATTTCTCTCTCTCTCTCTCTCTCTCTCTCTCTCACTCACTCTCTCTCGCACGCACGCACGATGAGCGGGTGGTGCCCCGTTTCTCGCGTGTCTCAGACTCACTCGTTATCGGACGAGTCGTAACTCGTGGAAGGAATCGCGATCTACGATTAATTAAGTAGGTAGATAGATAGATAGTAAAGTAATAGTAGTAGAGTGGTAGTACTGGCTCTTTGTCTTGTGCGAATTTTATGCGCGATTCAAATTTTCCTTGCAATATATAAGTCATAGAAAAATATAGATTATATATCGCGAAAGGTTTACTCCCGATAATAATATCCGCCCTAGGGGCGCCTAACCTGCAACTTTTAACGACGATGTCGTTATCTTTGAGCCACTTTCATGTCATTTTTCATATTGCACCTGCGTAATATAACGATACTGCCGTTGAAAGTTACAGAATGAGTCCACCGGTGCGGTGTACTTTCATTTAAGGACTTTCGTTCAAATTCCCATACTTTCGTCAATCACTATCGCACGTTATTGTTCAAACTTGTTCTCAACGAATAGCATTCTCTCCTCTCTTTCTGTCTCCCCTTTACTTGAGGCAGCCTAAGGGTCCCCGCACGGAATCGTTCGTATCACGTCACTATGTTAACCCTTTGACTGCTATGGGCGCATATATACGTCCAGCGAAAACCATCGGTGTGGCCTATGGGCGCATATGTGCGTCCGGCGCAAGCCATCGATGTAGATTATGGACGCAAATGCGCGCTCGGTGAAGGCTTTGGCTATTTACTGCTGTCTCATGTCTCGCAAAAACCTCATACCTCGTTGCTTAGCAACGAGAAAACATGAAAGCTTGTTTATTTGGTCAGTCATTCTCTGTCTTAATTAAATTGTGTACTATATTATAATGTGTTAATACGCCGCCGATAAGATCCATATTGCGCGCAAAAGTATTCAGTCCCCAGCGATCGCTACTGCCGGCCGCACGCCGCTCACGCGAAGCGCTTCAACTTAGAGCAGTTAGCAGTCAAAGGGTTAAATATAAGCCGTGAACGTAAGTGTGATTACACGTGATCAGGAATATCATCTATAAATTAAGAGTACGTGAAATATTTTACATAATAAAAGAAAATTATCAGAATAACGATTTGTTTTATTTTGAATATTATTCCTCCAATATTATAAATAAAAGAATTAATTTTTTATTAGATCAAAATATGACTGAATAGAAAATAGTTATTTGAGGGGAAAAGAAGTTACATACGATTATTTCGCAATATAACTAAATGAAAACGAAAAAAAAAAAACTGTTATAGAAAAAGTAATAAAAATTCACAAGATACTAATTTATCAACCTAAATATTTTTTTGGTAATTTATAAAATATTTAATATACTTGTTATAGATGACGATACTCCTCTGATCATGATGCTTAAGATTTTCTTTGTACATTGATCTAAATTTACGGCCAGTACTTAACGAAACGCGTTGCGGACGTTTCTATGCGGTGGTCCTCGAGATTTGTCGCTTCGTGGACTTGAGAAACGCACGTATATCAAACTAATCGGCAATTCGTATGAGTTTAGAAACTAACACGGGCATCATGTTACATACGGGAAGGTTAATTAGTCTAAACGTTACATCATAATGACGCGTCCACATTCAAACACGTTCGATTTTATCGAACAAAACAGAACGGCGCGAATATTCTCAAAAGAAAAAAAAACGCGTTGAAGAAAGGGGATGCGGTCGTGAAATATAATGTTTCGCTGGATACAAAAATTGTACATCGTCGCGTATAAAACAGAGGCCTCGATCCGAGTGTCTCTTTACCCGTATAAAAATTTCAGTAGAGAATGTGTGCGGAAAAAAAACACGTTTCTGTTTTTTTTCAAAACAGAAGGTCTCTTTCGGGGGAAGAAGGCCGGGAACGAATTCTCACGAACTTTCAGCACGGATGAGTCGAGGGACAGGCGATACACTTTGTTGTTTCGAGCGCCACTACTAAAAGCGAACGACCCTGAAAACAACGCAGCGTGCGTGTGTGTGGAAGATTATTCGCAAAATCGCGTCTCGGCTCACAGTATGGCGCGGATACAATCACTAACGAGAGTGCCTGCGCAACGGAGCTGTAAGGATCGCGCGATATCTATCGAATTAGTGATGAGCAACGGTGTCTTGATCGGTGAACTCGAACGAAGTCGTCGAAACGGCGAACGTACGCTCGACATGTCCCATGTGTTCGTGTCTGGCGGGGCGGGAGGGCAGGGGAGATAAAAAAGAGACAAGTGAAAATGAAAGAAACGAGACGGGGAAGACAAAATGTGACAAAAAAAAAAATCAACGCTTTGGTGTGCATGCAGATACATGTCCGCGTAATCGTTAATCGCAATCGTTTCCCGGGATCAAGTGACGCGCTAGTTTCTCTTTCTTTCCTTCATTCCTGTTCTCCGCCTATGTAATCGTTATAAATAGCCGCCTAATTTTACAGCGTAATAATTCTAAAATAAATATCTATCACAAAAGGCTGGTCTAATATAGAGGTGGCTTTTGCGCATTGTCGTAGTGTAATGTTGCGCGTGGGCGCGACGGCTGCGTTCGAGAAGGCGTACGTGCGCACCCAACGACGAGCGACAAGTGTTCCCAGATGGAGGGACAAGTCCGTCCGACCCTTGAACGCATGCGCCAATTGCGTCTCACATGACCAGTTTTAGTAATGCTTAGATGCAACCATAGGGATGTTCATGTGGACCCACAAAAATTTTTGAATTACACATATCATTAATATGTATCCGTTGAATTCTATGATATACTGGAATACTAGGTGCCATGTTAAGAGGCCGGGTTACGCCAAGGCAAAAGGATAGATAGTAAAGTACTATTCCTTTCTCTAGTGACTTTTGATTGGTTGACAATTTTCTACGATCTTTTCTACAGACATCCAAATGACACTGGATGGACTCGACATGGAACTTGCTTTTCTAACATCTTTCCTTATGATTTTATCCAACGTTAAATTTTACGACCGTTCATTGATTGTTCGAGTAAAAGAAAAGTGTTCGGACATTTTACAAGTACGTTGAATCGATCACTTTGTATGTCTATATCAAGAATTTCTCGGCATGTGTTTTTCTCGCTTCCGACGTCATGAAACAAGGACAGTTGCAGCGAAGGACCAGGAGCCTTAGCCGTCGTAAATTGTAGGTCCCATATGCTTGTGTATAATCAGCATGCGTACACCACAGGCATATAAGAAAGGTCACCATGCCTGGCCACAGATAATAAGACTGAAGAGAAGAAAAGGATACAGCTGATACTTCTCTGTCTCGCTTCCCCTTTTTCTTCCTATGGCACCTAGCATTCCAGTGTAACATAGAATTCGATGTATCTCATATATCAAAAGTCGTCTTGTAAATATTAAATTATTTTAAAATTGTTACTGCTGTTGATAAATTGCTCACTTCTCTCATTGAGAGAATCCCGTATTCACTTTAACAGTCCACATATTTCTCTCTCGTCTAACAATTGTCAAGGCGTCTAACGATATTCTCTGTATTATAGCGGGATGCGTAACCGAGGCGTGTCGGAATTTACTTATTGCGCATGCGCAGCTTTCGTCTCTCCGTCTGGGAACGCTGGTCGCGATGCTCGAGTGAGCCCACAGGTCGCCGAACGCACGCCGATGCGCTCTAACGATAATACTAGAATAGTTACGATAGAGCCTTAAAAGTCTAGACTATTTACAATCCGCATTTCCTCATCCGACTTATCAGCCGCTATCGCGCATCGGCTTGACACGCAAACCGCGTCCATAATAAATACGATGACGTGTTATATGTATGTATGCATGTATGTATGTATGTGTGTGTATGTATGTGTGTGTGTCCCGTTTATCGCTCTTATCGCGTTTCCGTTGTACTTGCGCTGCGCAGCGACGGTCGCTCGAATTCCCCGCTTCCGTCGCCACACTTCTTTTTCTTCCTTTACGTTAACGTCCCGTCCCGATCCGGACTCGCAACGGCGCCTGGTCAATGGGTGCGTTCAGAAAACACAATAGTTGAGTGATCATCGTTTTTGATCGAAGCATTCTTCTGGATCCATGGTAGATCCAAAGGAATATTACAATAAAAACTCATTCAACCGTTGCGTTTTCAGCGAATGCAGCCAATGCATCTGTGCAAATCCGCGAGCGTTAACGTGCGGATTAGTGTCCGTTGGTCGGGCTCGTTCTCGGATGATTATCGGGCGATTACCGGACTGCGAGTCCTCGCTCCTTAATACTACTGCTGCGCCTTGTTAATTCACACACGACTCGCGGAATATCTGTCGCGTGTTAAGGACACTAGTCGTTCGTCGAAATTCTCTCTTTGCGTTCGGATCTCTTTAATCCGTTCCTTGTCTATTTCTCCCTCCCTCNATTTAAGACATCATCAGGGTCAAAGTAGGAATAAATTATGTTATTAGTATTGAAATTGATTCTAATATGCTATCTTAGCTCTTACTATGTTATAGAATTGAAGATTTAACATAGAACTAAATTTCGATTCAGGATGATCTTCAATGACGGAAGCGAAGGCTATGATTGCCGTTCGAGCCGAGTCGAACCGAGCGCTCGTTGACTTTCATACGGAGACAACGTCTGCTTTTGCGTTTGAGAGATATATTTAAAAACATGTGCATCGAAAGTCGACTTCGATCTCAGAGCTTAGTAGTCTCTTCCTCCCTCCCCCTCCCCCTCTCTCTCTCTCTCTGCTAGCAAAGAATCTTCCTCCGCGCTGCTTACCGATGAGAAACATTGTGTCGGCTCGTCTCGCTCACGTTAGCCCCGGCGCTCCCGGTTTGTTACACCGCGGAATCGGCGTTCGCCACCTCATGCCGCTCGTGATTCGTGTAGCGCAGCAGGGGATCGTCGACGTTTATGGTTCCCATTTCCTCCTCGTTGTTGGCGGAACTCGTCGCGATCTCTTCTATGATGGACGTAATGATGCGTGAGATTGTCACGTGTCCGTTATGATTATATTATATTGCACGATTATTAACGATGTGTTTCGTAATTCATTTTTGTGTAAAATCGATCAATTGTGACGATATTGCGAGTCACCTACCGGGCAAGCACAATTGCAATTGGTCGTTGCTTGGGTTGGTGCTGTCCCCAGTGCCGCTGTCCTTGCTGTGCTGCGAGCTCGTGTCCAGGTACAGCTGCGTCTGCGCGTCCGGCACGGTCAAGATGACCGTGGTGGTGGTCGGCTGCGTCACGGTGCTCTGCGTGGAGTTGAGCCGCCGTCTGGTCTGGTAGATGATTACCACCCAGATGATGGACGTGCCGACGGCGCAGCACACCACGGTGATTATTATCAGGCTTAGTATGTCGTCCTCGTTCACCATGGAGGTCGGAGGAGCTACGGATTGAACGGAGAAACGGACGTGAGAAAGCGAGCGAGCGAGATTGACGCATATCCGTGGTCTCATCGCGTTAAAGCGTCCTACAATCACCTGGATTCACCGTCAGATGTGACAGGCCGACCGCGTTGCCCAGTGAGTTGCTCATCTCGCACGCATAACTGCCGGCGTCGCTCGGTATCGTATTGACGATGATCAACAGCTGATCTTTGGCGGTGAAGAAGTGCCGCTCGGTCGGCTGCAACGGGCTGTCGTCTTTCCGCCAGACCAATTTCGGCCGCGGCGAGCCGCTCGCCATGCACTCCAGCACGATCGAGTCGCCGACCATTATCTCCTTGTTCTCCATTGGCTTCACGAACGACGGTTTCTCTGCGAAGCGCAAAACCACTCTCCATAATTGTACATCGTTTGTGTTTCATTACAATTATCACAACTGTTACAATTTGTCTGTTCTACTTAGCTGAACTGTCCATCAAGAAATGATGTACGCACACTGAAGCGTGAGAATCTTACGCTTGTACGTACGCTTCAATGTGTATGTAAATTTTCTGAATTAGTGTAGCCAGTTCAGTTAAAAAGAATAGACCAGACAATTGTATACAGTTGTTCGAAATCGTATCTCGAGGTGTTTCGAGAAAATGATTCCCCACCTAATATGGTGAGGGTGGCATTTGCAACGATGAGACCGGCCAAGTTCTGCGCGGTGCACGAATAAACGCCGCTGTCGGCCATCTTCACGTCCACTATGAACAGCACGTCGTCCGTCGGCATCATGTGCATCCGCCTCTCTCTCGCCGCCGGGAAGTCGTTCCCGCCGTCTTTCTGCCAGGCTATCTGCGGGGAAGGCTGCCCCTCGGCGGAGCACTCCAAGCGTGCGGTTTTTCCGGCGGTCACTCGTATGTCGTGCGGAATCTTGGAGAACGATGGGAAAACTGTGTGTGCGCCAAAGAAATTATGATTATTCTCTAATATTAGCGAAATTAATAGACTATGAAGTGTACGTATGACTCATATGTGTACACGGAGTTTTAGAACGGTTCAGACACTTTTCTCGATGCAGTTCGAAACGCAGCTGACGGTCCGATGAAAGAACTCAGGGACAAGCTGATATTTACGTCAGCTCTGTAGATGACTAACCATGGAAAGATAGAGTAGATCCTTAATGGATCTACAACAGGTGTATAATAAGCTTTTAAGACCTGTCATTATCAGATAAACACATTATCACATATTGCGTATGCATAAGGAAAATCAATCAACCAAACGTGATCCGTGCGGAAAAGGAAATGTTTCTATATTAGACACATAATTGGTCAATTTCCATCGGTAGATATAATTAGTGATTTAGATGACACAATATTTTAATCCAAGTACTAGCCGTTGCTATCAATAATTTCTTACGGGCAGCGGTTTGACCCCGCGTCGATAAAATTACTCGTCTTTCGGAGTAATCCATTCATCGACCCAACAATACGGTTAATATTTGAAAATACGGTCAAAATTTGAAAACTAAAAGGAAAACCTAAAGGAAAACAATTACTAAGTCGCTGCCACGGCCATCTATTTGTGACCTTACGAACTTTTTTGCCTATAGAGGATATAAGCGTGTAATGACCCGCGCACCGGATAATCCTCCTGCGCAAACGTACGTGGTGAGTCAACCTTCCACGTTAAACGAATCCCGAGTCCCGATTATTCCCTTATATTCTTAATTTCAGGGAATTAATCAAAAAGAAATTTTCTCATCGGACCATCGACAACATTCCGCACAGCATCGAAGAGAGAGAAAGATGCAGAAACCATTTTGAGAGTCAGCTTGTAAATCGATATAATCAATACAACGAACACGCATAACTTACTCAACACACTGAGCGTGGCCTTGGCGGAGTACGTGGCGCCGTAATTGTTCGTCACCATGCACTGGTACTTCCCTTGGTTAGCGTGAGTGACGTTGATCAGCTGCAGGACGGACGACGCCTCGGTCGTGCCGTTCGCGGAGGAACCGACGCTGGTCTGCAGCATCGCACCGTCCAGCTCCACGTTGTCGTGCTTCCACGTGAAGTGGAGCGTCGCCACCGCGGTGCTGGTCGCGCGACAAACCAACGTCACGTTATCCCCTTTGATGCTTATCTGGCTCACGGGCTCCTCGACGATCCGTGGCTTCGGGTACTGGTCTGTGTTTCCCAAGTTTCGTTCAGTGTTACGGTTCATACGCGAATTTTACCCTGATCCAGCGTCCAGGTCAGTGCAATTTAATACCAACCGCAAGTGAAATTCGCATGATGCAGTTTGGTTAACGACGTTTCCTGCAGCCAGTGCGGGTAACCACAGTGTACCTCGGCCTCGCTGTAACGATGCTCGCGCAACCACATGCTCAACCATTGGAGCCCGCAGTCGCAGACCAGCGCTCCTGGCACACGGTAACAGAGAGAACAAGCGATCGCAAAAAAGATAATGACAAAAGTAATACACGATTACGTCGAGGCGACCTATCCGCGATATATTCCGCGAACGCGGGACTCGAACTTACGAGTGTTCATCTTGAGCTTGCTCAGACTAGACATCGGGAGGAACGCGTTCTCTTGAATGGTCGTGACGTTGTTCCCGGTTAAATCAAGTTCCGCGAGGCGGACCAAGCCGGTGAAGGCGTGTTGATTTATGGATTTGATTTTGTTGTGAGCCAGATTCAATTTCCATAACTGGCTGAGGGAAGAGAACGCGCCGCTGAAATCCTCCACTATGTAAGACACCTTATTCGCGTTGAGTTCCCTGTGAACAAGATGGCAATTGTGATATGCTGATCGCAATGTGGAGAAACGTTCAGTATGAAATTAGGACTGATAGGCAAAGAGAATGCGTACAGAATGCGCAGATTTGTCGTATAATTGAACGCTCCGTCCGAGATGTACGTGATCTGATTGTGATCCAGTTTGAGCCTCTCCAGATTGGTGAGATATTCGAATGACTCCCGCTCAATAGAGGTCAGTTCGTTATGCGACAGGTCTCTGAAATAAGGGAGATTAGAAGCCCGTGATATTTTATGTTTATTTATTGCACAAGTTAATTTAATGTAATTACTCGTAGTTAATTTAAGAATAAGTTATTATAAATAACGAATCGCACGTTTGTTTACGCTTATCTCGTCATTGAAGAGACGAGATATCTAATAGAGATATCTAAAAGATTTTAGGGATATGACTCACAACTCCGTGATCGCTCTGCATATATCCCACGCTTGCGATTCGATCGTCGAGATCTTATTATGTGACAGGGTGAGCTTTTGCAGATTTTGTAGTCCGAATAAGCCACCCTTCCTGATAGTGGTTAGCATATTGAAGTCAAGCTGTAGAAGAACCAGCTTCTTAAGCGGCCAAAAAGCCCCGGCGTCTAACTTGGTGATTTCGTTTCTCCTTAATCGTAATTCCTCTAGGTTTGTTAAACTCTTGAAGGTTAACCCGTGTATTTCTTGCAGATTGTTTTTGTTTATCTCCCTGAAAAACGTTATCGCGCGCATTCGTAGTATAGTCGAGACGTAGTAACTTATACGTGTGATACGTTGTTAAGGAGATTGTAAGGCGAGTTTGATAAGAATTCGATGAAATCTATACTACGTTGAAATACGTTATCTAACTGTAATTAGTGCAAAGAAAAAGATTGATCGTTCGAGAGCAGAGATATTAATAACTGGAGTTGATATTTTTTATGCACGTTCCTTGAGAGATTAGCGTGCTATTTTTAATTTCTATTTTTAATATTTTCTAAACTAAAAATAAAATTTTGACGAAAAACTACTACGATATTAAAGATATACAGACATTATATATAAATTTCAGAAGCCTGAGCCTTGCAAACTCCTTAATGTGTTTACCGATACATCGGGAAAACACTTACAGTATTCGCAGTTTTTCCATGCCCGTGAACACGTCTTTCAGTTGTGTCAGAATGTTCTTGTTCAGACGAAGTTCCTGCAGCCGAGTTAAGTTATCGAAAGTCCCATTTTCGATTAATTTTATATTGTTCGCGTTTAGATTACTGCGGATGTAAAAAAATATTATTGTACTTTTTATTATTGGACGACGCAATCGACGCGTCACGCGGTAAAGGCTCTTAAGGCCACCGATAAGATATACGTACAGGTGCTTAAGTTTATTTGGAGTAAGGAAGGATCCTCTCTGAAGGACACTTATTTTATTTCCACTGAGATCCAGATATTCAAGTTCTTGCAAACTGAGCAACGCAGTCCCATTTATATCGGTAATTAAGTTATGAGATCTAAGAAAGAGAGAAGAAGAAAATCGCAATGCCAATTAACCGGATGACGTTAGAAGAACGCGCATAACATAAGCGTAGAAGATACTTACAGCATAAGGTGAGTAATATTCTTAACAAATACAAGATCTGGCACTTGTGTCAAGTGATTTTTATTCACTTTAAGCTCGCGCAATTGTGCGACATCCGACAAGGCAATGGTAAAGTTATCTTCGAGTTTATTAGCACTTATATCTCTGGAATCACAAGATGGAGTGGTCAGAGATAAAGTTATTCGAGTCACAAACGTATGTTTAGTTTTAATTTCGTAGAGGGAAAGAGGTGGTATTATATAGCTTCCCCATTCACATTTTGTACAATAATTTTGCCAACAATCGATATATTAAATTGAAAACTGAACAATTAAATTCTTCAAAGTATTCAATCGATTCTAGACTATCATGGAATGTTCTATCATGGAATGTTTATTACTTGGGACGTTATTTATAAAAATGTGGCGACATTACATAATGGGTTGAAAAGAAACAAGGATGACAATGTGACACTCAACTAAAATAGGCTTAAAAAATTGGTTTTGTCTACAAAACAGTGATTTTTTATAAATTAAAAGTTTTTCAAAATAAACTCTAGATAAAATATTTTTTTCAAAATACTCCAGACAAGAATATTTCTTTAAATAAATTCTAGATAAAGAAAGAACAACAATGAATAACCGGGAATTTTTAATGTAAGTATTGATTTACTAAGAAGATAAATACAAACTGTCAGAGACAACTTCTGCAAATCGAATAAACTTTAAATTAAAAATTTATTCTGAATTATTGACTTATCAAATAACTACTTTGAAATAAAAACCTAAAAAATGAAGCTATATTAAATCTATTTTAATGGGAGGCCGAATTAACAAAATGTATTGTTCAACTTTGCATAATTCGAAATATGTACAGCGGAATAAAATGTTAAGTAGCGAACAAAATATAAAAATACACGTATATTCGTGTGATAATACGCTCAAGTTTAAGAAGAATGAGGAAATGTGTATAATTAGATGCTGTAATATACCTTGAAAATGTTTGGAAATGTTTAAAAATAAAAATGCGCTACAACAAATGTCAGCTATTGTGTATCGGCATATTAGCGCCATTAAGTAACGGCGGGCTAAGTAAAGAAATGATTCCATAAGTAATCACTAGAATTCGCCACCTAGTAGATATTAACAGGGACCATAATATCACCTTCTTCCGCCTACTAATTATCCATCGTTTAATGCGGGTGCTTACAATTCTCTGAGTTTTGTTAGATGAAGTAACGAGTCGAATTCTAAGTTGGCAATATTGTTGCCCTTCAATTCTCTGGAAAGAAAAAGATATATAAAAATGATTCCGCGTTCCCTCATGAATTATTCAAACGACGTGTGATGACGATTAACATTTAAATAAATGAAGCAAGAAACTTTTTACATAAGCCAGTGAAGAAAGATATATATCTTGCGTAACGTCTCTATTTTTATTTCGTTACGTTGCACGAAGCAAGTACCCTCGGTTACTCGCTGCACACTTTAATACCTTAAGCGGCAGTAGACAAGCATCTTTTCCCCACATAGACCTCGCTATCCTTGACTCTGAACATCGGGGACTTACGATGGTCAGCCACGATCACACACAGCACCCTATATGGCTTTAGAAACCTGACTGTGTGTGTCTGTGGAGTCGGTTTCATCAATCTGGTCATTTGGCGCCGGTGGAGAGAGAGACAAGCGACCCACATGCAGCCGTAACGAGCAATATTGCCCTCCCCCCTCCCCACCGTTGATCCGACTCCCAAACAATATAGAGTAATAACAGTTATCATCCAATAAATAACAAATTGCTGCGCATAATCGCGCCTCGGCCGGCCAATTTTGATTTCGGACGCATGCGGATTGGCCAATTCGCGTTTTCACGCCTCGTCCGGATGTATCTCGTTGGGAATCGTTTCTTTATCAGCCCTGTTAGCTGCAAATTCGGGCGCGATCGAAGATGCCTTTTTAGACGGCACAACCGACATGAATACGTACTCCGAGCGCTTAAACTGTTTGGAAGATACAAAAACAAACGGCCGATCGTAAGGTGTACATTTACTCGGGGTCTTATCACCGAAGATCATTTCCATTGAAAGTTCTCCCTCTTATCTTATCTACAGCTCAAGTTACACAATGAGTACGCCGCCCAACCCTTGGAATCACTCCTGCGTATCTCGGAGAGAGACGGACAATGCGTACACCCGTCCCCGCACACCCGCGCGGGTCATGAATGAGATGCATTCGAGGCAGCTCGAGGCGAGGTGCACACCTACGACGGCGCAAACCGGTCTTGGGTGCTGACAAAAGCGTCCCTCCGTCCATACATAAACAACTTTTGGGTCTCTTCGACTGTCAATAGAACCAGACCCGAGAACGACCGATCGTGAGGCGATATAGATCGGAGCGTTCAAAACGAGACGGGTGCACCGTCGAGTCGACGAGTGAGCGAGCGAGAGAAAAAGAGAGAGAGAGAAACGGAAGCGACGCAAAGTACAGCAGCCGAGGAGAAGCAAACTTATTTATTTACTCACAGGATCTCGGTCCATGGTGGCAGTCCGCTGGGTGCCTCGACTAGCTGTAGCTCACTGCAGGCGACCAGGTTGCCGAGGCAGGAGCACTCGACCGGGCAGCGGTCCGCTTCGCCGCCGCCGTCGTCCAACGTCGCGATGCTTTTCGCGCCGATCGGCGGTGCGCCGAGCGCGAGCAGGCAGGCGGCGATTAGCAGGGCCGCGTTGCTCCTCTTCATCTTCTCCTTGCGCTCGACGGCTCGGCGAGTCGCGCTGCGTACGAGGCGAAGGCCTCCCCGCGACATCGTGCGTGTGTGTTTTCCTCGGATACGTACGTACCGTGTTTGCGTGCGTGCGTATGTACAGTCGCCACAACGCACGATGCAGCAGCAGCAGTCCCGCAGTCTACGATTAATCGGTAGCGCGACGTTCACCAATGCCGCGTTGCCCCATCGCGCCGTCGTTGCCGCTGCTCCGTAGGACGACGCCGCCGCTCCTAGGCGAGCCGATTAGCATAATAACGAGAGAGGATGCCCACGTCGTGATCGATTCAAAACAAACTGCCCCTGCTACCTCTCTTCTCAAAAACGCTGCTGCCTACGCACCATGATGACGCCTACGAGACGACTGCTCCTCGCCTACCTCGCCACCGTACGAGCGCCCACTGCTGCCACCTGGCAAGATGGCGGGTGATCAACGGGGAGGAACGCGCTCTGTTGGAAACGCACCTCGAGCCGGCTGTCAGTGTCGCCAAATCAATGGGAATCCTACTGATGGAGTTTTCGATTTGCCGACTCGACCTGATTCCTGTCTCGGGTCATCGTATCGCGTTCTGATTGGTGCATTTTTAGAAATGTCAAATCGCAAAGAACCAAATCGGAGCGCCATAAAGCGAGGTCTCTACAATGAGAATTTAAGGCGTGAGCCTTATAAGAAATTGACCAATCACAGTCGAATATGAGGAGAATAGTCGACTGTGATTAGTCAATTTTTTAAGGTTTACGCTTGAAATTCTCATTGTACCCTGCTTAATGTAGAACGATTTTAATGTGTAACGTTGTGAGAACTAGCATGTATATTACTTTAGTACTATTAATTGATGCATAATAATTGCGCAATATTATTCATATGTATGCGATAAAATATAAATATATAGAATAAAAATATTATATTTTTGAAGTAAAATAAATTATTTAATGGGAAATATGTTTGCATATGATTTAATAACATGAATTTATATTATTTCTCCTTTAAAATAATTTTTTATATAAAATAACATTTAATAAATGTGATATTTACACGTAGGATTTCACATAAGACTAGGAAAGTCTCGTCAACAATTGGCGACACTGCCGATCGTTCGCTCGAGCAACTTAGCTTGATCGACTTCCTTGAGAACAGTGATTTCGTTCGAGCGGACTAAAGTAACGGAGGACGCGGGGTGACCGACAGTGCCGGTTTCTCGTGCTCGGTGCGGTGAACATAGTGACGAGATATCTCGCAATTCGTCTGTCCACGTTTCAGTGTCGGTATCTGTTAGACGTTTACTTGCCCGTCAGGGACTACGGTGGACGACTGTCGAATTTCCCGAGATCTGAAATACGTCGTCAACATGGAGGAGAGGATATTGCAGATGCTCGAGGACGTAGGGTAAGTGGTCGGAGGTTATATCGTGGTATAGGGCTTCGGCAGAATGGTTGACTTACCAATTTCAGACAATTTTTATGCCCTAAATCTTTCCTTAAATTATCATTCGTTTCCTTTTTTTTTATTATATAACGGTTTGTCATCACACAAGTCCAAATAGAATAGTTTTTTAGTTTGAGACGCGACAGTCATTATACAAATTTATTCAAAGACATAAAAGATATTCAGACATAAAATATTATCTTGAATCGATACGTCGGTCATTCTGCTAAGGTTTTTGTTTGAATACATTAAATATATTTTTAAATACATATTCTTGAATATTACTGAATATATTAAAGTCTGGGTGAAATCGGAGTTTAAATACTCACGATGGATCGTCAAACTTGTCAAGCTTATCTGTCGCGTTCTATAAGAATATAGTTTTTCAAATACTGCTGTTGTATTTTGTTTTCCTACTGCAATATAAGGATGGATATTTTTTATAACGCTACACAGATACACAGGACCGCTGCTTGATGCTGAGAAACTGTCACAGGCTCTGAAAGTCGGCGCCAAGTCGACGGATTTTACTAGTCTTATAGCCTGGTTCGCCGAGCAACTGGGAACATTTATCGACACCGATGAGATTGTTCATGCTACAACAAGTGCCGATGATGCTAGTTCGTTCCTCTTAGAGTTAAGTTTCTTCCTCAAGGAAATAGGATGTGCGAATGAGAAACTAATGACTGGACACGTGAATCAAAGACTAGCGACTGAACTGGAAAGGGCTGTCCTGATAGAATTTTTAGCAGCTGAACTTATGGCTAGTAAATTATTAGAGATTAAATGTCCCAAGGAAGAGAAGCAGATAGAGCTTACTATTGTAAGTGTCTCAAACTACCTCTGACGTTGTTCATTCGCAAAGGAAACTATGTGTAAGATACATTTCTCCATTTTGCCTCGCAGGATGAGAGCGACACAGCAAAAAACTTGAAGAACATGCTGGTGACGCTGAAGTTCCAAAAGCCACCGAACAATATCACGCCTGATCAGCTGTTCTCAAGAGTGGAGACTAAATTGTCGGAAGTGCTGAAGACTTTGTCACCTGAGTTTCTAGGCAAACCCCTCATAGATGTTGAGCTCTCGGCGAAACAATGGGACAAGCTGAGTCTGTTGCAGGAGGAGATGAACAAGGAGTACACGATTCGCCGTGACATGTTGCTCAAGCGTCTTGACGTCACAGTTCAGTCGTTCCTGGTGAGAATCGATTTAATTGACATCACGAGTGAGTTATTCCCAATTATTCCTGTTACTCGAGACTCACGATCCCGTTTGCAGTGGTCAGACAGGATAAAGCCGCAGGAAACCGAGGTGAACTCCAGATACGACGAGAGGAGGAAGACTCTGAAGAACGAGCCGAAGGTGACGATAGCCGATCTGCTGGCGGCGAGAGACGACCTGGCGGTGATCGAGAAGATGAGTAACGCGAGCGTTCGTAAGAACACGCGGAGCAAAATCAACAGCGTTATTATCGGAGCGGTGCCGGACAGAGGTGGCAGACCGTACGAGCAAGAGCCTCCTCCACCAGAGATGCCTCCATGGCAGAAGGACAGGGTTCAGGGACCGCCGTCGTTCCGGTGAGAATCGATCGGATTTCTGTGTATAACAAATTTACAACTAACACCTTGTTGCATGATTTCAGGGGCGGGAGAGGAGGCGGCGGTGGTGGTGGTGATAGAGGAGGACGTGGCGGCGGCAGAGGAGGAGGAGGTAGAGGTGGCGGTGGCAGCGGCGGCTATCGCGATCATAAAGACGTCAGCAGCAATTTCGGGCAGAACATGGACTATCAGCAGTCTCAGTACTCCGGACACGGTCACAGGGAGTGTTACCCGGATCACAGAAACGACGGGGGATATCAGCGGGGTGGCGGAGGCGGTGGTAGAAGCGGCGGGGGCTATCGCGGAGATGCCGGCGGTCAAAATTACGGTCAAAATTACGGCCAGAATTATCCGAGTCAGAATTATCAGAGTCAAAACTATCAGGGTTATCAGGGTCAGAGTTACGGCAGTCAGCAGCCGCATTACTCCGGTCAGAGGGATTCCTATGGGGGCGATAATCGTGGTGGCGGAAACTACTATAACGAGAGAAGAGAGGGTGGAGGCGGGGGGGGAGGTAGAGGCGGAGGAAGTAGGGTTCAAGGCGGTTGGAATTCCAACAATTCTGGCGGCAACTATCAGCGCGGCGGCTACAATAAAGGCAGAGGTCGAGGACAATATTGAAGGCACCGCTGTATCTTTTTGATGACGGATGCTCATCGCGCGAGAAACTATCACGGTGATATCGCTATTATATTTACGCTTACGTACTCATACATGCAACGCGCTAAGAAGACTAACTCGAAATATCCCGAATTCAAAGTATCTTTAGGTACAACCTGAGATAGCGATGAACGTTGAAATGTGTGCGTCGGAACGAAGCAAGCTAACAGTTCGAAATTAAAACAATATATCTCGTTAAGATAGTCGATACGTTATTTATATTCGATCTCGCATATAGAGTCTCATTTTTGCAACGGCAACTTTCAATCTCCTCGTTCGATTGAGCCGCGTATGTTTGTGTACATAATACAATTCTCTTTTTACACGAATTTGAAGGAAATCCAATATGTAAATATGTACTCGCTCGCATCCGCATGAGAGAGCGGATTAGATGGTTGAAATTTATTTATAACAGGAGGAATGAAGACTGTAAATCAAGAATATTCAATTATACACTATATATATGTATCGAATATCAAGTGCTAAATGAGTAATCTAATGTGCTTGTATATGTATAATATTAAATCCTCAGCACTGCGATCTCGTTGGTGAGATGTGTTATTTGAAGTAAACCTTATCTACTATTCGGCTGCATTATTTAAAAACAAAAGAAATGGATATAGTCTTTAATATGTGGATATATTAGTATGTTTTTAATTTTAGATTTTTATTCAATATATGAATTGATTAAAAACTTCATTTCTATATTGATTGTTAACGAAGGGCGAACTAATCGCTTTACTAGAAGATAGGTGCGATAATAACTTTCAGTAATATAAAACAACGATAAGTCAGACGGCTGAAAATTATCAATTTCTCAGATTGGACGGAGCAACAATGAGTAACAGCTTATTTTTCAAGAGATGGAGTTAACGCAATGACTGGCGTGTGACATTGGACCGTGTGCTGAAAAATAATTGTCTTTCGTCCTCTTATGGCGTTTCTCGTAGTAAAAAAATGACAGAGCGCTGTCATTTCTACCTTGCACTAGATAGCATAATACGTTTTCTTTATAGTGATTTCCTCAGTACGTCACTGTCATTCTATCTGCACACGAACGCTGTGTCAAAAATTATCGGACACACCTGAGATTATATTTTGTTATAGTGTACTCTAATATTTCGTTATGATAAAAGTGATTGAACTTTAGTCTAGTTTTTATTCCTGCACACAACCCCTCTGAAAAGAAATTGTAAATATATTTAAATTCACCGCTGGAAATTCATATTACTTTCTTGCTCATCACGTTCTCCTGATACAAATCCACGGAACTGGAGAATATTAGTTGCGTTCAACAGAGAAAGCAGCTTAGCAACTGCTGTGAAATTCGTAAATCTGATTAGTGTATGCTCTTAATTTTAGTTGAATCTGAACATACACCAATCAGATTCACAAAACTTACAATAGTTGCAAAGTTATTTTTTCTTCTGAACACGATCATTCTTTCTCGGATTCCTGGCTTCTGCACTTTAGTATCAGGAGAATACAATCTTCCCCTCCAGCGTGAACTTGTGAAAAATTGTACATTTTTTTATTTGAAAATATTTAACGTTTTCGCCCTAGGGGAGAAATTATACGATCGAAACCAAAGATAATATAAAATAGTATAAATAAAGAGAAACTGTTTAAATTTTAATCATTTTTATTTTTATCTTTGTTCTAATACAATAGAAAATAGTATAAAAATACATATATAATGTAATACACATATTGGGAGTGTGAATAAGTTCTCGCCGTTTCACCATCAGATGGCGGTATAAAAATTTTCTGTGTATAATTCAAGATGATGACGCATCCATATTGAAGTTCTATAACCTGTGTTTAAAATCAGTGCGTGTCTTTCCATTAACCTATAAAGAATATTTTCTTTTTGTAGCGTAAAACATGTCAAATTTCGTGCCAAATAAACCGTTTTTGCGGGGAATTTTACTGCACTATTTTATTCAGAAGAAATCTGCAGCTGAAGCACACAGAAATCTTGTAGAAACCTATGGTGATCATGCTCTGTCGGAAAGAACATGCAGAGATTGGTTTAACCGATTTAAAAATGGTGATTTTGATGTTCAAGATAGAGAACGCAGTGGTGCACCAAAAAAGTTTCAAGACGAAGAATTGGAAACATTACTTGCTGAAGATCCATGTCAGACGCAATCCGATGTTGCAAAATCATTAGGAGTTGATCGAACAACAGTTTCGAAACGTCTGACAGCATTAGGAATGATACAAAAGGAAGGATCTTGGGTGCCGTACGAACTGAAGCCGAGAGACGTCGAACGGCGTCTTGTCACGTGTGAACAGCTGCTTCAACGACAAAAAAGGAAAGGTTTCATAGATCGTATTGTGACTGGTGATGAAAAGTGGATACACTACAGTAATCCCAAGCGTAAAAAATCGTGGGTTAAGCCCGGCGAAGCAGTAGCATCAACGCCAAAGCGGAATATCCACGGTTCCAAGCTCATGCTGTGCATTTGGTGGGATCAGCTGGGGGTAGTGTATTACGAGCTGCTCCAACCCAACCAAACCATCACAGGAGATCTCTATCGACGACAATTGATGCGTTTGAGCCGAGCATTGAAAGAAAAACGGCCGCAATATGAGCAAAGACACGATAAGGTGATTTTGCTGCATGATAACGCTCGGCCGCATGTCGCGTCACCGGTCAAAACATACCTGGAAACGCTGAAATGGGAAGTCCTACCCCACCCGCCGTACTCTCCAGACATTGCGCCTTCTGATTACTATTTATTTCGATCGATGACTAACGGCCTGGCTGAGCAGCACTTCACTTCGCATGAAGAAACGAAAAAATGGATCGATTCGTGGATAGCCGCAAAAGAAGTGTCGTTTTTTCGACGTGGAATTCTAATGCTGCCAGAAAGATGGGAAAAAGTAGTCTCCAGCGATGGGCAATACTTTAATTGACTTGTTTTTTTATTATTTTTTTTAAATAAAGGATTTATTTTCACAAAAAACGGCGAGAACTTATTCACACTCCCAATATAATATAATGTATAATATAATACATCAAATATTGTTAGTTCGAGGGAAAATTGGAATCTCTATTAAGCAAATATTTCATTTACCAATAATTTTGTCGAATAGGTAGATTGGTTGTCGGAAAGAATTTCTAGGGACCTTAGAAATGCTGTATTCAACAGCCAATCAGCACATCTGATAATGTTGTATGCGATTTGTCTTGAAATCTAAAGATCATTTTCACTAACCTCGATCAATCTAATCGACTAATTAATTAAACGAAATCGAGTAATAGTATTTATTAATTAGCTGGACTGATCAATACGATTGGTCAATTCTGTTTAGATTTAAATTATAATAATAAAAACGGGCATAAATGAGTACATTCAATATTGCATCGATCGTTAAGCACTTACGCCTGTTCTACAATATGCATATGTTGCTGTCGGATGTCGGAACGCAGCCGATGGTCCAATGAGAGAATTTATTTTTCGAAAGTTAGTTCTCTTCATTGGACCATCGACGTTTCGACATCCGCCAACACATACGACGTATTGTAGAACAGATTTTCAGAAATTCTTGTAACCCATTGGTATATCCTTTTAGATTAAAAAATGTACTGGATGCAATCAGATGCAAGCGTTCACTAAGCGCTCAGTGAACGATTGTAGTACTGAATGCATTCAATCCACCTAAGTGCCGGTTCACAATGGATATTTTAAGCCTTAAGCTTTAAGAAATTGACCAATCACAGTCGAATGTAAAGAGGATAATTAACTGTGATTGGTCAATTTTTTAAGACTTAATGCTTAAAATACCTATTGTGGACTGATACACCAACTGACTTCGTAGAGTGGACCTCTCTTAATATCCCATTTAACAGAGTAGAGATATACTTTAAGGACGTTTGCAGCCAAAATTGAGAAACAAAGAAACAGAGTAAACCTTGAAACACGTGATCAATTTTGTGAGCACAACACACGTGTAGATTTATCAATGAAAATAATTAAAGGGATAAAAAAAGGAATTAAATTAAAAGTGGGAAGACATAAAACGTAAGTAAGATGAGTTCTAACTGCGTATAAATACTGATTTAATGTTCACATATCGCTCGTTAATATAATTTTATTATTATTTGAAATCTATGTTGTTGCTAATCAATGCTTTATTCTACATTTCAGAAGATTGATAATACACAAACTAAAAAAGTATCCTGCTCGCAAGTGTAAAAAGATGTTTACTCCTAAAAGTTTTGCGCTAAATATTGTTGACACTGTGGATATTGAGGCGCAGAATGTTCCTTCGGAAAAAAACATTCCTCCAGATGAGAATGTTAATTCTTTCGCAGAGAGAACAAGCACACAGCTGAACGCTGAGCAGAAAAAGAAACAATTATTCAACAAAGAAACTGCTGACGAATCGTCCGATGTTGAATGTAATAGATGTAGTTTTTTTTTCCTTACTTGCATGATTTTATAAATTCTTTTTGATATGCATCTCAGGTGATTAGGATATCCCATCCCATATAAAAATATTCCATCTCTATTTTTTTGTTTACACCTCAGTAATATCTTCTTCTATTTGCTATTGAAACTGTTGTTTACAGGTGATGTTACGATGTGGAGTGACTCTGAGCAACAAACACAGGAAGAGACAGACAATGACTGGAAACTGGATGTCTCAAATGAAAAGTTGGAAAAAGAAGTCAACGACGATTGGATGCAAATTGTTCGCAATGAACAGAGAAATCTGGATTCGCCGATTGTGGTTAAGATGAATTTGGACAACTCCATTCCTTCAAACATTCCAGAGATACTTGAACAGCAACCAAAGACGCGAACTGAAAGTAGCGCGTTTTATGATAAGAACATTTTCATTCATTCAGAATCATGGTCCAACAAGGATAATCACATGGTCATCATAGATAGCGATTGTCTGAAACCCAAGGACGATACCCATTTGCCAGTCGAAGAGAAACAGGCATTGTCTGTGTCATGGAATGTTGACGAAACTGACCAAATCAAAGGTAACGAAGCTATAATTAATAGCGTAATAATTTATAATTTATAGCTATTAATAATTAATATATTTATAAGTGATAGCGAATTGGGGAATTCTATTAAGACTATTCCTTATTTGGCAATATCAAGAAAAAAATTGGAAAAGCCATAAGGAGCAAGCACAGGTGTGATTTTATTGATGCCATTTTAAATATCAAGGGGCTCCATATGAGTAGAGAAACGATCTATATTGGAATTTTTCTGCTGATCACATTGTTTTGATTTTACAGACATGTCTTTGAGAGATTATTCTTCTTTTACTTACATATTTATATATTACATAAAGCCTAGCATAAGAAACTAATATATAACGCTGTTATTACTGCTTTCATGAGCTTATTATCGTTAATCGGTATCGAAAGTATTTCTGAAGCTAGTAGACCGATTTAGCTGTAGTTTTGTATAGATATTCTTAGTAAGATTGTCTAGTCTTTGTTATAGTTTTTTTTTTATAATCGAAAAGAAAAATTTTATGGCGAAAAATCGAGCTTCTGACTTCGAACGTTAATAACTTTATCAAAAATTAATATTTTAAAAGTCAGTTACGACACCGTCTTACAAAAATGACCTGATCTTTGAGTCCCAGTAACATTATTACAACTTGAAATCCGCCGATAACTTTTCTCGGGTACGTTCGCGATACACGTTGGGTCATTTTCATCCTCCCACAATCAGTATTAATATTGACAATATTAATATTTAAAATGGCACCAGATCACACCTGTGCTTGCTCCTCCCGACTTTTCAAATTCCATGCTTCGAATTAGGAAATTTCGCTGTCAATGACTTCGTCCGTGCTGACGTGAGCCCTGCACGTAGAGAATCCGTCGATCAGTCCATAAGTAGCAACAGCGACGCAGAAGCGTGCTGTAGTTCTCAGAAAGTCTTGGAAGATGCCAGCGAGGCTGTAACTACCTGTAACAGCAGATCAGAAGATGTGAGTGACGTCAGCAGTTTCGGGAACAGTCCTATGCACGGTGAATCGTTCTTGAGGAGAAAGTTCAGGAAATCGAATAGTCCGCAGGCTTTCACGGAAGGCAACGACGTGTATTCGCACAAGCTCACGAAGCCGCAGCTGTACAGCATCAGGAACATCGTGATCGTTGTCATGAAAAGCGACAGTGGATTCTGCTTCAGCGGCAAGCTGTCGATGAATGTGCTGTACGGCGCCGTGGAGGTGTACGGTGCCATATTGGACGCGTCCAAGCCTGCCACGGAGGTATATTCGCCGAAGGGATACAGCAGCGTCTTCGTCGAGAGCAGCGAACATTTCCCGGAAGGTGACGTCGAGAACATATGGACGGCGCTGTCCGCGGAAGGCGTCACTCGGGACTCGGAGAGCAAGCTGCAGGAGGTCATCGACAAGGTCGAACCGGGAACAGCCGTGTTGGTGTTGCGGAATCTCGAGAACAACCTGACACTCTTCCTGCAGACTTACTTTCCGCTGAAACTGTTCCCGAACGTGAAGAACCCTGGCTACTACTCCTGGATGGATCACCAGCGAGCCGAGATAGTGCTGCAGGCGCGCCTGCACGACCCCACTCGCAAGCGACTGATCGTCGAGCCGTGCATCATCACCGATATCGTTAACAGGATGTTGGCGCTCTGGAGAGCGAACGAATGGTCTTGCACGTTGGTCGCTGGAGGCAAGAGCGTCGGCAAGTCCACCAGCGCGCGCTTCTTGATCAACCGGTTGCTGCACACGTGCGGGAAGGTGGTCCTAGTGGACGTGGACCCCGGCCAGGCGGAGTGCACGCCGGCCGGCTGCATCTCGTACAGCCTGATCGAGCAGCCGCTGACCGGGCCGAACTTCACACACCTGCTGACGCCGGCTTACCAACTGTTCATCGACGAGATCAACGTCGCACAGTGCGTCACGCGCTACTTGGAGGGCGTGAGGATGCTGGTCGACCGGCTGAAACGGTGCCCGGTAATGTCGCGTCTGCCGGTCGTCGTCAACACGATGGGCTTCACACGCCACATCGGCTGGGACCTAGCGATCGTCACGGTGAAGCTCGTCAGGCCGTCTTTTATCCTGCAGATTTTGTCGAGGAAGGGGAACAACTACGCGGACTTGCTGAGCGCGGACATCGTGAATAAACAGGTATACGCTTCACGGCTTTAGAAAGAAGATACAAAATAGGTAGAATTTTATTTATTTCAATAGATTTATCAAATTTCTTTTGCATATTTCTTTTATCATCGGTTATGCATTATATAATTTTTTGTTCGAAATTTTTTTTAATAAAATAAATTTTGAAAATTCATGCAACGTAAAATATTAATTCTTTTAGAGTTTCTTTGAAATTCTTTAAAATTTAATCATTGGAACTCGAGTGATTTTATGATTTATAAACTTTTATGAATGGAACATTTTAAGGACTTTGTACGATAAATATATGTTCATTTGCAAGATATAGTTAAAAATACTTAAATTTTACTTGGAATATTTAACAAATTACCTGGAAAATCAGAAAATTCTCAATGCATTTTTTTCCGAAGTTTGAGTAGACACCCTGTAGTCGCAATAAATCTAAACGCAAATCACATGTCTTAGAGGAAATGGCACGACGTTTCACCAATTTTGATCAAACTCAGTGAGAACATAATTTCTCAGTTTTCATCACGTACTTACAGGACGGCCCATTTGAGACAGATCACAAAGAAAAAAAATCTAATTTCTAAACATTTTTAAACGACCATCGTAGATTTGAGTTCAGTGTGTCTCAAGATCTCTTAAAACATAGTCACACTTATTAAGAATCAATCATATTCATGGTTTTGACCACAAATTTGAATATTTTGCTCCACTGTGCGGCGGCAGACGAGCTTCCGTCAATCCTGCGTTCAAACATTCATTAGTGTGAATATTTCAATGCAATATTGTATGCACAATGTTGTATTCCTACGAAAGCATCGAGGAACATTTTGACGGATGATTGACCAATCGGATTCCTGTCGATGCTGCCGTCCAGGCGGACAGTGAGAGTCAACCTTTTAACTAACGTCTATCCCGACGCATTTTTCCGAACGTATTTCGAATTTTGTCAGGAACGCAAGTGGGAATTTTGCAACGAGACGTTCGTCGACTGGAATAGACCCTGTGATCACAATTTATGCGTGATATACTCGAACGCGGAAAATAAAGGCACGTGGAGATCGAACGAGTTGAACTTGGAGCCGTATCAGCAACGCGAGCTCGTAATGATGTCTTATCTCAGCAGAATCATACGCGATGATTATAACGATCCCTTGTGAGTGTCTCTCGCTTGCGAAAGCGTTCTTCGAGTTCGACGCGAAACTGCAATCGCAGCCTCATAATCGTCACTTTTTGTTTCAGCCAACACAGCGTGGGTTTGCCGTTCAGCATCAACGAGGCGGTACCATACAAGTTAGTATGCCATCACCGAACCGGTCGGTCCGCTTTGATCATCGAGTAAAAATAAAATCGAAAGATATATTTATTTAAACATTTCTTTTTATTAAAATTTTTCGCTTAATTTTTTACGAGTCACTTATCAGACGCGTCTATGGAGTCTTTATCAACGATCCGGCGCTGATGAAGTGTTTATACATAATTATCGTAAGATATGGTCGGTTTACTGTCCATTAGCGCTTTGAGGACCGCTCGATCGGACCGAGTTCTTTCACTGATCTAACCGTCAACGTAATGACGGGAGCACGAATGTCTATACGTAACGAACGTTTATACGTAATCGTCGCGCGTTTGCAGGACGTTCTTTTCCTCCCTGTGCATCATTCCTCAACGATTATTCGGCGTACCAGCCTCGCACGCCCTGAAGGTCATCAACGGTAACATAGTGGCACTGTGCGGTATAGACTTGACGGAGGAGGAGTCTTCGCAGGAGCCCAACGACGCATCCGGCCCCAGGGTGCTCACGCAACGATCACCTTTGTGCACCTGCTACGGATTTGGTAAGCGCTGATACCTTCGTGCGCACGTGCTCCGATATGAGAATCCTCGTCATTCGTTCGACGTGCGTCACGCATCTTCGAGCGTGTATTTTACATTTGTGTGAAGAAAATACTCTTATATCTCACATAATTCTCGTGTGTACATACAGGAATAATACGAGGTGTCGACATGGAGCAGCAGGAAGTTTTCATCAACACTCCGCTGCCCATATCGATGATGCAGCATGTCAACTGTTTAGCGGGCTGCATCCCTGTTCCGCCGGTTCTGTTGCAACTGAGCCCGGGCACGCCGTACGTTGGCGGGAACGCAACGCTGCCGACGAGTCGCGAACCCCGCAAGGGCTACTTTCGAATGAAATATCGAAAGAGTCTGAGCAACTCCTGACGAGACACGGAGTTGCGTAAACGTATGGTGAAACAGCGCAAATGCCACACGAGCGTTGCGGCTCCGAGACGAAGGTACCCCGCAAGTTTTTTACACGTAGTACTCGCTGCGGACATGACGGCGCATAAGCAGGCCGAGTGCGTCGAAACAACAGGAGGATGCTGACACCGGACAATATTTCTTGCGGTTGTGTCATATATGCCTTAACATCGCACTTATTACACTCATGTGATCTGCAACCTATCTAAATGTATAAGGCGTATCGGAGGATATTTGTACAGAAAATCGTGAGAAACCCGAAAAATATACGCAGGTGTTTCAGAACCTATGGGACGAATTTCAGGGGGTGTTAGGTCTCACCAAGAGGATCGATTTTTGTCGAGGAATCCGATACGTTTTTAAGAAGCTACGCGCATCGTTGCTCGGACCGTCTATGAAATGGGCGTTCGCACAACAGCACTAATCTACATCTTTTGATTGTAGTTTTGATTGTAGTTGTTTCTTAAAATTTCATTTTGAGTTGCAATGTCACATGGATGTAATAAATGTAATAAATATGATAAATGTGATCAAGTCAAGGCAGGCATTTGGAGCACTTTCTGTAATAAAATGTGCGAATAAAATAAAATAAAGCAAAAATAAAATCAAAAGACGTAGATTAGTTAGGCGTCATGCACAATGTTCTTTAGCGACTGGTTGCTTATCTCACAGGCGGTTTGAACAAAAACGTCGTTAAAGGGGCGTCGGAAGACGGGTTTTTTTTTTTTTACAAAAACTGATTCTCTTGTTGAAACCTACCACTTGTTGAGATTTGTCCATGAGAGTCCTGAAATAATCTGCATATAAAGATATATATATATAGGGTGTTCCATTTTAAATAATGACCTCAAATATCACTTGAACAATCCATTTTAAAGAAAAGTGATCCATATAAAAGTTGGAGAATTTAAAAGAGTCTATTTATCGATCTTATCAATTTGACCTTTAGTGGAGTGTCAAGATCAAAGAAAAGTCAATTTCATTTTTTTTCTACGAAATCACATGATTTTTTTAACACAAGCCAATGCCTCTATTCGTTCTGTATATAAAAGTAGTAGGATGTAAAATTATTACTAAGATTATCAAAAAGTGAATACTTTCCGATAATATACGCAGAATGAACGTGAAAATAAATTTTTATCGAGAAAATTATGATTCCTTAAAAAAAAAATGAGGTTGATCTTCATTTGACTTTGATGCTTCTATCCAAGATCGAACTAATAAGGTCAGTAGATAGTTCAGTTTTAAACTCTTCAATTTTCATATGAAAAATTTTTCTATGAAATGCTTTGTTCAAGAGATATCTGAAGTCATCATTTAAAATGGGGGACACCCTTATATATTATATGTAATTATATATAATATATAAAATATATATTGGGTTTGTTCGATAAGTCGTAGGAGATTTTTTATGAAAAATCCAAAGAAGGAAATACTTTTATAGTTTAACAATTTTTCTTTTATGTTGGAAACTTTTGACCATCGCAAAAAAACGACCGATACATTATTAAAAAACATTATACCTAATTATAGCAACATCGATTTTGAATTTTCCATAAAAATTCCTACAAACTTGTCGAACAATCCAATATATATATATATACATATACATACATATATATATAAATAATATTTTAATACATTATATATTGTATGTAATAATGATGATGTGTAATAATGATTGTGATAATAATAATGTTGAGACATAAAACCTGGCATACAATCAGTTACGTTGCCGTCCGGTACGCTTACATTCAGCGCTTACATTCAAGTTCCTCTGAGACAAGCAAGCTCTGTGACTTCAAAGCAGCGTATTTCGCGGCTTGTCAAATTTGTAATAGACAATTTTCGTTCGCGGGATTGCGAAATATCGTCATAAGTGTGAGTGCATAATTCAATCAATGATCGTTTGCAAAAATGCTTATTAGTCAATCGTACAAAAGTATAGACTTTTTATGCACAGTCTCTTAGACAGATCAAGGAAAGACCGCCAAGTATAAATGAAATATCTATTAAAAAAAAAAATAATAGATATATTTCATTTATGATTGCGCAAATTCCTGTTAAAAACATTATGCAAAATGAACTTGATCTGGATTACAAATTATGAACAAGTAAAAGTTTAAAAATTGGTTAATTTTACTACAAAACACAATCGGTGCAACGGTGTTGGGAACGCCATTTCCTTTCACCGTGAATCGGGTTGGCTATCTTCGCCTTCATTGCACTTAAAGTAGGAACACAGTGGCCGCAATATGGCGGTAAGCGTTTGGACGCTCCAGGATTTGCCGATCAATCTCTGTCGACTCGTCGCCGATAAGTTCTTCACGTCCGTGTAGTGCCGCGGAAAGCCAAAGATCTCTTCGAGCTCGGTGATCCAGAGCGTGTCGCTAGTGCCTTTCATCATGATCGGTTTCAGTTCCGCTTTGCCTGAAACAGAGACGGAAACGTTCACGAGGGTTCCTTTTTCCGACGAAATCTCTCGGCTCGCGCGAAGAATTGAACGCGGTAAGAAAAGAAAAGAGAAAAAAAAACGTACCTTGTCTCAGCGAATTCGTTCTAGTTGTGACCGTGCGAATCTTCTTCACGAGAGCGTAACGGTTGCAGTTCGGAGTGAGTATATCCTGAACGTCCTGCTGCTTCTGGAACTGCGGGAAGTACGGGTTGTCGGGCAGATTGTGCCAATAGAGCCTCAGCCTGTGCTGCGGCGAGAAATCGGCCGAATCCACCACCATCGGCTCCTGCCCCAAGTGCCTGGAGTTCAACGCAACAAATCAGTTTCGCGTGATCGCGAGGCATCGCAGCAGATGATAATCGCACGATTGACCAGCCAGCCACGACGACTCACTTGTTCATCTCCAGTCTGAACTCGCTCGGCATGGAGGCAACGTTCTCGTACAGCCAGAACAGATGATGACCCTTGTTGTGCTTCTTCAATTGTTTCAAGATCCGGATGTACTCGAAGAACAGTATGCCCGTCCCCTTGGGATCTGCAAACGCGAAACAAGGCGAAAATGTCTTTTTCCGTCCAGGAGATTTGACGATTTGTTTGATCAGAAGACCATCGACTCTCTTACTGTGGAGACCCAGACGCGCCGGATTGACCAAACTGAGGTCGTTACACGGCGAACCGCCGATCAACAGGTCAATCGGCATGATCTCCTTGACCTTCTCCTTCGTCACATCTCGCACGTCGCCTAAATAAGTAACACGATCACCGAAGTGCGCGGAACTAATCGTCAGAGCGTCCTGATCGATCTCACTCGCGTAATAGACGTCTACTATGATTCCTAATTTCAGGAGCACCACCAGACCTATCGAATATTATATAATACGTATTACGAGATACATTAGAGAACTGTTTATGTATGTGTATATACGTGTACGGGTGTGTTGTCAAATATACATTTTTGATGCTAAATATATTATGTAATGTGTCCGAAGAGAACACGGGTATCTTACCGGTGCTCAAGCCGTCGAAGAGCGACAGCACGCGAATACCTCTCTTTTTTCCATCACTATTTACAACTTTAATTTTATCAGACACATAGTCAACCGAGGAAGTACGGAACATCTTGAGGAATGTCTCCTTCCAATTATTTCGCGGACGTACCAGTCCTTCCACAGGCAGCTTAGACTTGTCTCTACAGAGGAAGCATTCCCATGGATCCTCCAAAAGTATTTGGTCGTACACTTCCGGACACAACAAATACTTTAGACAGGCAGTGCAATAGACTCTGAAAAATGAGTTGCACGATTGGTTCGGAAGATAAGCAAGATGGTGTCGTCGTTCGGGCGTCATCAACAGTCGCAACCATTACTACTAACCGTGGGCAATCCTCCCGGTCGCAGATAACCACGGTCCCGGTTGCGGCGCAAACTGTGCAGTAAAACTTCAATCAGAAATGTAGAAACCCGATTCTCTCGAGTGTCGCTTAAATAGTCAGATACTTACGCACTTGTCGTCGTTCCCGAATACGAACATACACGGCTTAAAGTGGCTCTAAAAACGAAACAATTTTGTAAATCGTACTACGTTGTGGTGGTCGTCGTGGAAAAAAAAATATTATACAGATATATATTTGCTGAAATCGGTAATAATTTTATATATTATCACTGCGATCATTGCGATCGAGAGTATCGCATGCAAGATATTTCTCTTCTTTTGCGTTTGTTTTCTCTTTACCGAGCATTCTCTACACAGAGATCCTTCGAAAAATGGATGCTCCTCCATTACATCCTGCGAGAACGTCAAACATTTTAAACACAACTTATCCAGCTTGGACTGATCCTTCATTACGCGACGCAAAGCATCTGAAAGTGAGAAAGCGTGGAAAGATGAGAACGTGAGTTCGCGCATAAAATATCGATTGAACGAGTGGAATCCGACTTTTGTAATTCGTGCAAGTCGCATACACAATTTTACTTGTAAACCTACCGCTTTCGTCTATGTCGGTTTTACGTTTAGAATCTACATTCGGATTGGCTTTAATTTCATTCATCTTTTTTAATATCTCGACGGAATACTTATCATATACTTTGTTAGACTCTGAAACTTGCAAATGGTTATATGGTATGTGTACATTAGTCATATCCGAGAAATACTTAAAGACATTATCTAAACTCCAGTTATCCGTGTTGCATCCCAAACGCGAACAATAATCCTAAAAAGTCATATTCAGATCGTGGAAAAAGTTTTTTTAGAAGACATTTTTGGAAATGAATATTCATCACGTCCAAACATATAAATAAACTTTCTTTTCTAATGTTAAAATTATTACCTCTTGGAAGTAATAAATCAATTTATCTTTTACTACAGGCAGACAATCAATTATTTGATTTGACTGAGTTATATCTACTAGCAATGCGACTTTTAAGGCAACATTTCTTACCTTTGCAGCTTGCAACACGCCTACGAGATACACATGCTTTTTTGTATTCTCAACGTATTCACGTAACTTTTCCAATCCCTTATGAAATTTTAAAAATGCTAAATGGTGTACCTGCAACAAGAGGTGTTATGGAAGCAATAGGTTAATTGTGGATGACGAGAAGAGATCGCAGTTCGCCGAGTTCGGCGATTTAACGTTTAACACTTTCGCTGCCGATCCCGCGCCAGTGCGTGATATCGCGTCAACGCTACAGAGCCAATCAGCGCGTAAAGTGGTATTTAGGAAATAATTCGGCGCGTAGTCAAAATATTCTATCAGGAGAGGCCTAAGTATTGCTTAGTATAATAATCAGTATAATACACATAATCATGTTTTATTACCAATTTTCAATCATATTTGTTATAAAAAGTAAGTGGCCTTCCAGGAAAACCCTATTTATACGGCGAGGCACTAACTATCAACACATCCTCACGTGACCGGCAGCTAATGTGTTAAAACCTAGTTCGGTTTCTGTCGCGTAGATTTTTGTTCAAGTGTCTTTTATGTCTCCCAACGCGATCGACCCTCGCCTATGTACCGGCGGAAACCTTCCTACCGATGAAAAATGAGCTCACCGCGACAAAGCGTATAGAGATTAGGAATTCCTAAAGTATGGGTCATTTCAGCAAGTTAAATTACGCTTCAAATAAACAGTGTCAGGCTCTAATAGTTAGTGAACGTCTCGTGTCAGAAAAGTATCGAAAGAGCTAGAATTTGAAATGTGTATTCTTTGTCTTACACCGACTTCCGTTGTCGCTATTTCGGAATACCAAACCGTTAATTATCGTTCGCCGTTGTTGATGGTCAATAAAGCTGTCGTAGACGATTACGAAGAGTGATTGGTCAAATTTCTCTTCCTGCAATCTTCCGAACGGCGCAAAAGCTTGAATTCTCATTAAGCCCCATCTACGCATAAGACGCAAGACTCAGAACACACGATTAAACGCAGCGTGACGTACTTCTGACCGTTAGAGGGCACAGACTTCAATACGCAGGACGCACAGAAATTGGGCGAATTTCAATTTTCGCGTTCTGCGTCGAAGCGACCAGCCAATCGGGATGTATCTTATCATTATGATATTCTATCGTTTCATTGGTTCAGGCAGAGTGCTCGCTACGTATCTATGTAAATACGTAGACGCATAAATCTTGCACCAACGTTCGTTTCTTGCGTTCTGCGTCTTATACAGATGGGTCTTTACAGAAGATAATGCAGACGCGTGAAGAAAAAGAAAACACGAAGTAATTTATTCCTCGCGTACTTTGATGTGGGGCTTAGAGGTATTCATAGTCAGATCTTGTAAAATCGTTTCAAGTTCATCTTCAGATGCTCCGTAGCCAATAACACGATTCGTATAGTATCTGAAGATGAGCGTGAAACGATCTTAACCCACCCCCGTAGAGGCGGGGTCAAATTGACCCGACGAATGCGTTTATTTTACAGCGTACATGCGCTTTCTCTTCTTAAGGAATATCATTATTTACTTCTTTACTCATTTTGTACATTGAAAATATATGAAAAATAAACAAAACAGAGTATGGAGTCGGACCAAAACCCTGCTTTCTTAAATACGTTAAAAATCCACCTTGTCATTAGAGGATTAAATATAAGATCTGGCCATAAATACCGCCCTTAGTTTTCATCATTGTATTTAGAGTTATCACCTGCGAAACTGTGTAATCGCCGTACCACATAATCCACTGACAACCGAAACCTGGTTCCTTCAGGCAACAATCGCGATAATCGATAATCATCGCTGAAAAGATAAAAAATAGAACGTTAGAGTTACACTTGCGAGCAATATGTGAACAATTTAATTTCTATTAAAAAAAAATGCTCTCGGGGTAATACCTGGCCACCAGTTGTGCCCGGTGATTTTTGCCCAGGCTATAACGCCAGGTATTTGTTCACGCAATGGCAAACGCTCGTCCTCCATTTGCTTTACGGCTTTTGTATCTTTGGTTTTTTCCGTTAATTGTTTCTTCAGCTCTGGCGAACCTGTTGGTGAATCGTGATCATCGTTTGATTGTCATTGTTATGTGTTAACGTCAACGTGTGCGCGAATAGAAAAGCGGAGGGAGGGCGGGAGGGAAAGAGAGAGGAAAAGAGAGAGAGAGAGACTCACCGCTTTTCTGTTGTGACACGTATTTCTCGGTAGCTTTAACGTTTTGTTCCTTCAAAGCGTCCAACCTGTCTTGTATCTTCGTTGGATACGGATAAAAATACAAGTGGTCCACTGTCGCGTCATGTGGACAGACAAATTCACAGTCATTTCGTGATTTCTAAATCGCGCGCATAGAGCAACAACCAACGAGCTCGTGAGAATTCTCAAAACACTTACGTTCCTCCTGATTGATATTCCGTTGTATCCAATAATAATAGGGCTTTGTCAGAGTGCACTCGTAACGTTGGCGTAGCATCTAAAATAATTGTAACGGCACTTCGCATATTTTTGAAGATAACTCTTTATTTGTAATTTTTATTTGCGTAAAATGTTCGTATGTTCGTATGTTTATCAAGAAAACCTTTATTGTCTCTTCAATGGCTTGCGATCGTGTATTATTTTTTCGAAACTTTTGCGTCAATCGTTCCTCCAGCTTCCTGGAAAACAGTTCTATCTGGGTTTTCTCGTTGAGCTGAAATCACGTCAGTCATACGTTTTATTGTTCGTTCCATTATGTAGGGGAGAAGGAAAAACGGGGGCAATCTCTACTAGCGTGCGCGGTGCATTCGCTCATTTACCAATGATATTTGCGATTCCCCGATCCAGTAGACCCACATTTTGCCGGATTCGGATGCCATCCCTACTTGGTCAGCTTCGATGATGAGCGCTGTAACATCACGTTGGAACTTTAAGAGCGGCAGGAGTAAGAAGAAGAACATTCGAATATTCGAACGCTAATTAACATCTATGCAAGATGTCGAAGCATACTTACCTGGCCACCAACCCGAACAGTTCCCCCATACTAGCTTGCCGACGTTATTCTTCTCCTTCACGGTGTTTATCGAAGATCTCGTCGATCTCCTTCGCAGTACGTATTTCTTCTCATCGTCCGACTCATTGTCCTTGTTGTTGTCGGCCGTGTTTTTTGCCTGAACATAAATTATTATTGTATATATCTTTTTGTTAATCTTACTTTCGACATATTTCATACTCTGCACTCACGTCTTTCATCAATTAAGATACGACTTCAGTGAACAAGTATAAAGATTATAAGAGTATTATAGAGTAATTATAAAGATTATAAAGAGTATAAAGATTGTAACAACAAGTTACGTCTTTAGTATAACGAGAACGGTAATATTAATACTGGTCTTACTACATTGAGAGGGAAAATATCTACAAAATATTTTATAGATGGGTATTAACACGTTCCGTGCCATGTGGGGCGTATACGACCACCGCTGCACTTTCCGTTCAGACCATTTGCAATTCTCATTGAAAAACAAAGAATTCTTAAAAAATTTATTGTAGAGTCAAATATAGACAACTTCACATCACGTATACAGCGTTTACGACTTTTTTTAATCTTTAAAGTGTGAGTCGTATACGCCCCACGCGGCCTGAATGGAAAATCTTCAAAAATTGCCGTGGCACGGAACGTGTTAATAACGTATGTTTATATCAATATAAACAATAAATTTTCAAATAAGAAAATATACATTTTGTTAAATCTGTAGCCCCGCATGAGAGCAATTGTTTACCTTATTTAAATAAAAGAAAATTTGGAGAGATTTAAATAAATATGTTATTAATATCCCCCCAGGCAAAAAAATATTTTTTGCTTTTTAGATACTTTATATATATATATATATATATAACGTAGAGAAGAAACTGGGGCTTATTTCATGTTTTACACATTTAAATTAAAAAGAAAGATGTATGCAATGTTTTATAATATCATGTACATTTCAATATCATTTAAATGTAACTACATCTTTAGTTTTAAGAAAAAAATATTAACCTTGTATATATTCATATTTATATAATTTATATATTCATATTTATATAATTACTAACAATACCGCAATTCATCACTCAAAAATTCATCACTACAAAAAAGTTATTTTAAAAGAAATAACATCTCTAAACAGTGTTGCAATAAGGATCAACTAAATAAAGGAAAAATTCGCAATAACTACAGTACTTCTTGTGACTACGGAAAAATTACGACCAGTAATTACAAAATCAACTGAACAACAAAAATAGAGACAGAAAGAAATAAAAAATTTACTTTCACCATGTTCAATTTTTAAAAACTGTTCATATCACATGCAATGCGTTAGCCATGGGCCATTTCATACATCCAACTAACACAACATCAGCAACCTGCAGCTATAGAGAAGAATACACCCCCTATATTTATTAAGTCAGATACAAGCTTTGTAACATTTAATCCGTGTGACTCAACCCCGGTCTCCTCTACCGAAGTTATGTTATTGAAAGATAAGTTTCCAAGCTCACACACCTTGGCGGGATTCTGGTTCTTCTCCCGTCCTGAACTGTGCTCCGACGACCTTCCTCCGTTACTCTTGTTCCGTTTTCCGTATGTGATCACGTCTTTGGTAGTCTCACGACGACTCTCCAATTTCGCGTTTTGCTTCGAAGATGCTGCAGGAGCTTCACCGACGACGGTCTCGCGGTACACGTAGCAGGCACTGGCCATCGACGCGTTTCGCTCTTGGCGCGCTTCGCTGTTAACGGAATCGTCGCTAACGTCCACCTTCCCAGCCATGATCCGCGATTCGAGCGCGTCGTCGCCTTCGTTGCCGCGTCCTTCGCTCAAGGACGAGCGGGGCTCGAATATACGGGACACCGCCGTCAAGCTGACGTTGCTGTCCTCCGAGCCCCAGCTCACCTCGTCGACGTTTATCTTCAACGAAGGTATCGGCGGCGCGGAGTCGTGGACGCTCTGGTACGTCGTTTCGGTCCGGTCGACGAACTCGCAGTCGATCGGCCCCTTCTGCGGGCGTTTCTTGTCACGGGACTTCCGGCCCGTGTTCCCGTACGTTTTATACGTCGCCGACAGTTGCGGTGAATTCGCATCTCGCGACTTCTCCGCACGGTCGGCCGTGTCATCGTCCTCCCACTCGTATTTCATGGAGACGTCGCGACCCTCGTCACGACCCTCGTCCTGTTCCTCGCCCGGATCTTTGGCGACTTCCATCTTGTCGGTGTCCGCGTTGTCGTCTATGTGCGCCCGGATGTCCCTCAAGATCGCGGTGGCGGTGTTCTTGAGGTTCTCCTTGCACGAGCTGACGTGGGAGGAACGGCGTTGCGGGTTGCCGCAGTCGCAACGTTTCCTCCGCGCGATACCCGGGAGCTCGGCGGCCAACGGAGCCGGTGCGCTGCGTCTCGCGAGACTCTTTCGGCGATGGGTGCGATCGCTGCTCGCCACGGGTCGCCTTCGTCGGCGTTTCTTGACGGCGTGCGGAGCCGCGGAATTCCTCGGGAGATTCCTCAGCAGTCGTTCGTGGTGGCCCTTCTTCAACGGTAACATCCCAGACTCGCTGTACGAACTGGTGGACCCGCGACTCGAAACGTTTCCGTTCGCGAAGTGGGACTGCTGCCTCGTCGCGTCCTCCTCCTCCTCCTCGTTCTGCCCGCTGCTGTCCGACGTCGTGTTCTCCCAGATGTCCCCCATGTCGTCGTTGACGCGCGCCACGTTCTTGTAATAATCGGCGCGTCCCGAGAGATCCACGCGTGACCGCTTCTGCCTTCTCGTGTCACGGCTCGGCAAGTGTCGTCTCGTCGATGCGGAGTGATCGGTCGATAGTGCCTCAGTCGTGTTGCAGCTCTGCCGCTTTGGTCGCCCGTGGGCTAGGTTTTTGCCGGTCGATCGGTACACCGTGGATAAACGATCGCGGGCCTCGTCCACGTTGCTGCTACCAGCTAATCGAGTGTGAAGTTGCTTAAATGAGAAATTGTAACCTGGTAGCGCGGCAGAAGGCGGGCCGTCCTTGAGCGAAGGATTGGAAGAAGGGTTGACGGCACCGGCGGCGACGACTCGTTTCCTCATCGCGGATCGACGATCAATGTCGTCGTGGATCCGACGACGCACAGTCATCAATACCGCCGGGTCCCTCGGCTTCTTATGCCGTTGAACCGTCCACTTACTGCGCTTTCGTCTGCCACGTTTACGGACGGATTTTTTCAAAGGTACGATGTTGCGCATCGCGGGCATGAACGGCCACAAAGCGGTCGAGATATTGTTAACGGGCTTTGGCTCGGTCTCTTCGGTCCCTTCGAGCTCGGCGGTCTCTTCAGCGGAATACAGCTTCGTGGTCACGTCCCAAAGGTTAACGAAGGCAATGTCCTTCAGAGACGATTCGGGAAGAATTCCTAGTTCCATGGCACATACGAGGGACCACACATTCGCCATCTTGCACTTCCATGGTCTGCCCCTGCGTCGGTTCGGCTTCTGGGTGATCTGCAAATGCATCAACGAAAGTCTCAGTGAGGAATCGATGCCCCATTCAAGTAAATATTTGCTAAGGAGTATTCGAGTTAATTATTTTACCCGGGTCGAGTAAATATCTATTTTTTTCCTTTCAGTGCTACATTCAAATAATATTATTTATTTCATCCAGATAAAATGATTATTTCAATACTCCTTAGCAAATATTTATTTAAATACAACACTATTTTCTTTCAGTCTATTATATAGAAAAAGTCTAAGTTTGTATAATTAAATAAGTACCAAATTAAAATTCATTTATGAGAAAATATTTCCGTTACTCTGTTGTTTAAAACGCGTAATCTATGTGATAACAGTCGCGAGTCGAAGTAAGCAACGACTCGCATCGAGATCGAGATCGAGATCGATGTCTCATCTGTTATACGCTTGTAGTTTAGGTCAATGTGAACCAAAAAATCCTATATCATTGTGCAAATAACCACGCGAAATTTTTAATTAATAATTATTAAAAATGACCATGTGATTTCTTTTATTAATAACTCAAAAATTTTCGTAAATATTTGCAAAATGATAGAGGACTTTGTTCAGAATGACCTAATCTATCAAATATTTTACAGCTGTTGTATCTACCCGAGTCGAAATTTTAGTCCCAGTTTAAGTCTAATTTAGTTCTACATTAAGTGTTCAAAAGTTTCCTATTGTGTTCTATTAATGCAACAAATGCTGCGGAGGAAGTTATTGCCGTTTTCTTCACTTGAAGATTTAATATAGAACTAAAATTTAGGTTCTGGAGGACTAAATTTCCTGTGTAGCATTAAAGGAACACTTATTGTGCTCCTTTCATGTTACAAGTGGGAATTTATTTCTATTTTCTCCACTTGAAGACTGAACATAAAATTCCAAATTTCGACTCGGGCAGCGACCGACATCAGGACATTGAACTTTGAACCACGAACTTTGGATCTGTCACTAGGTACAACTGTTGTATACTTGCAGATGAAGCCATTCTGAACAAAAATCCTTTACCATTCTAATAACCAGGCAAATTTTTGAATTATTAATTAAATAGCCTCTATAAACAGCCATTTTCGATAATTAACAACTTAAAATTTCGCGTGGTTGTTTGCAAAATGATGGAGGACCTTTTTACTCACATTAACTCAAACTACAAGTACATGACGGATGAGATACTTAACGACAAATATCCTGTATACATCCTTCGAAGCTAAAAGGTTAAGGAATCCATCCCTTTATTTCCCGAGGATCCATTATCAATGTTGGATTATTTTTTAAAGGCAATTAATAATTAGATGTAAACAGAAAATTACATGTAAAAAAAGAGCATGCCGTAAATAGGACACTAGCCGCTGATGTGAGTCAATCGTCATCGCTCGAAATCCATTCGCTCGCAGAGGCAGAATTTTATCGTTGAAAATGAAAAATCGCGTGTCGCAATTAAAAGCACAATCGGACACAACGGCGCGGCGAGAATCGTGACCCGCGAAATCGCACCGGCGACTGACGACGTCGTAGGGAGGCGAGACGCACGAGAAACTGGGAGGGGGGGGGGCAGAGTCTCCGTAATCCGGGGACGTTTGTTTATCTCGTAATTACAGGAGTAAAGTATATAAAGAAAATGTATTGGATCGCATCCGTGGGCAGATTTCCCACGGGAGAACGTAACTCGTAACATTGACAGAGTCGTCGTCGTCGTCCTCGTCGTTGTCTGGGGAACGGAGAGCCGAGGAGAGGGGAGGATTTGCGGAAAGTTTCCGCAGTTCTCGCGCGGTGCGCGCAAAAATCACCTCAAAGAGAGACAAATTGGGTCGCGGGCGCTTGATTAAAATTAAACCTAAATTAATCTCTCTTCTCTCCGACGGAGCCTCCCCCCTCCGTCCCTCCTCATCCTCGGCCGCCCACTCCGGCGTGGTCGTCGTCGTCGCGTGTCGTTGCTGGTAAACACCACCGGTTCTCTCATATTACCGTCGTGTCGAAGAGTGGAAGAAGAAGAGCGTCCTTCTCGGCGCGCGCGAAACATGCTTCTTGATCGCGACGTAATATCGCGCCGCGTACAAACATTACATTTATATCCGCTCGTGCACTCCTGCGTGGCGTGCGTGCTCGCTCTCTCGGCGCGGCGCTTCGTAATACTTCCCGGAAGTCTGCGAAGACTTGAATTAGGTATGAAGTCATAAGAAATGTAGATACGCTGCAAAATGAATGTCCGTTGCGCGAAGTCGACGCACCCGCTCGCATTGTCCCGCTCGTCGCGCCGACAATGTACTTTCGCGCGTTAATCGCGATGGCGCCGCGGCGAAAATAACGCGGTAAGTAGGTGCGAATTTGTAATTCGTCAACTGCCTTTCTTCCGACAGGTCGATACTTCCGTGAGCAAAAGAGGGAGAGAAAGGGAGATCGATTCGGTGACATCGGCGACGCGATCGTGTCTTCGGCGCTCGGCACACGGTGGAATTTAATTTTTCACATCGCATACTTTCGCAATTACGGCTCTCGGGGTTTTTCAGCAAAGGGGCTCCCCCCGGAGTTCCTCGAGGGCCGCGACGTGAAAGTTTGATGCGGTGGAATTACATATAAGCGACAAATATAATTCTATGTTTACATCGCCGAAGACGTATCCCGGAAAAGGTTTCCCGTATCGGCGTGTGGGAGAGAAAGAAGCGCCCAACAATTTGTGAGTAAGACACACACGTGAATATTTTAATATCGACGGCGATGCTCTCGCCGCCCCTCGAAACCGCCCCTTATTCCACCCTTGGCATTCTGCGGTAATTGCAACGTGTCTACGTGCTCTCTCTCTCTCTCTCTCTCTAATGTCTTATTTCACATAGCAAATCGATAAAAATAAAATATGAGCGAGTCGGCGAGATACATCGCCGATGCGGACAGATCCGTCCGTTGACTCACACGGCCATAATTGCATTTCACCTGACCCGATAAGAGGCGCGTTTCGCGTGCATTAATCATGAGACAAAGCGTGTTATACAATAATTCCTATGTCGAAATGGATTCGATGGTCTAATGAGAGAACTCGTTTTCGAAAAATTCTCTCATTGGGCCATCGACTGCGTTCCGACTAATGACTTGTTGTGTAACAGGTCTAAAGGCGCTTTTTCATGCTAACGTTCAACGCTCACATTTACTGTTAAAAAAGATCACGTGATCGAAGTTGCTGCTAGATAGTGAAAAACGCATAAAAAGAATATAGCAGCGTCGAATTTTGAACATTACAGCGTCAGTCCTGTATAGTGTTCCTCTCTGAGAATCATATTATTTCTAAGTAAATATTAGGTCTGTTCTTTCTTGCTGAATTAGTGTATACTTATAGAACTGGAAAAGAGACATATATACAAATAAGACTTGGTGGAAGAAAAAAAAAGAGAGAACTAATAAACTATACAAGCTAGTACAGCAAAAATAATCTTATTATAACGTATGCAGAAAAAATTACTCTTAAATCAGGAATATATGTTCTCATATGTAAGCAAGAATATTATAATATTTTTTAGAAGATTATTAATCTTGATTTCATTGAATTTGCATTAATGATATAAGCATTATTTGCACGCTAGCGTCAGATTAAAACCACGTGATCGCGTTTCGGCGCTGCAACGAGAGTCTCATGAGTTGGCACCTTAAAACCGCGCACACAACAATGCACCATGTGATTTTCAGCGCCGCGAAACCGATCGAAAGACACTCGAGACGCGCTCGCGAAAACTGTGATCCGCATTTGAATCGTCCCTTCGCCGGCACCGCGGAACGTGAAAGAAAGACGTATGGCCGAGCTACACGTGTCGCCTCTAAAACGCGCTGGTGTCCTAGAGGTGCCGATTCGCGCCGCAAGCCAGTCGGCCGAGACCTGTTGAATGGAAACACCCCGTCATTAGTAGTCTTACGCAAACAGTATTAGCCGGCCGTTTGTCGCGCCGATTGTACTTTAACGACCGATTGTACATTTAACATGCGATTGTTATTTCACGCGCGTGTCGATTCCGCGGGTTGCAACGTTCCGCATTTCGCATTAATCTCGTGATCGCGCGTTTATCGTGTAATTCTCGGCCATCGGTGGCCCGATCGTTTCGGCACGAACGTCATGAGAAATGCAAGTGTCGCTCCGAGTTAAGAATTAACATCTTCATTTCGTTGCGAACTCTGTGCCGTTCGTCGTTGTCGTCGTCGTTGTTCCGACTTTTGTCCGGCGCATCCAGTGGAAATGCGATTTGCCTGGTGCAAACATCAACTAAAGTTATCTTCTTTCGTCAAATCGCCCGTTGTGCGCCGATCGAACGTCGACGAGGCAGAGGGAGAGAAGAAACGGAAGACGCGATGAGCGTGATTTCTCTCTCACACGCACACGCAGAGAATTTTTCTCGGAGATATAAGCATTCATGAACCGACGAAGTATCGTCCCAAATAAGTACGAAATGTTTTTTACTGTGTAATAATTGCCCGGCTGAGACATACTTATAACGTCGAAACTATTTCAAGGCAGTATGGGAAATTTTGGAAAGCAACACGAACGATACATTACAGCTGCATATCGCCGTACAGATACTATGATTTATATCTTAAACACAACGAATATCCCGTCTTTCTTCCGTTCTCATACACATGAAAAAATGTTTAACATTAACAAAAATGTTTAATCTTGAAATGAGCACAAATAATATTGGTATCAATATAAATTAAATCAAATCAAGACTAAAATTCTAAAAAGATCATAATATTCCCGATTATACATGAGAATATATATCATTGATTTGAAAGTATTTTTGTCCGTGTAGACGCACATATACAATAGTACTACAACAGTTACTACCCGAGATAAAATTTTTTCCATACTGACATTAGAAATAACGCGCAATTCAAATTGCAGCGTTGAAAATACACACGGGAAAAAAGTTTGGTTGAATTTACCAGACAGTGAACAAACCAAGCGCGTTTTAGTTTTAAACGAAACAGAATTTCTAGTTCTCATGACCCAAATTTGG